GAAAAGGACTTCATTGGATTTCACAAGTGATAGTAAGTTTTATCTAACGCCAGATTGACATCTTATTTTATAGGAAGTGACCCAAAAGATCTTGGAGGCTGTAGGGAATGTTGCTGGTTCTTCTTTGGAACAGACTAGCTGGCTGAGCCGGAACTTAGAAGTGAAAGCTCAGCCTCAGATTTTGCCAGATGAGTTCAACACTGAAGATGTGAATGGTAATGTGGTTTTGTCTGACTTTCCACTGCTTTCTCTCTTCTGCTTAAGTCAATAAAGAGTACAATGTGTTAGTGTGTAGTTTGCTTGAGAAGGAAGTAATACAGATGAAAAGTAAAAATACTCATTGTCTTCCAATAGCAATGCCAGCCTAAGTGGGTTTAGTAAATACTATACATGGTGTGTAATACAGAGGAAAACTTATTTTAGGTGCATTCAATACGTGGGACAGAATAACACAAAGCATGAAGTATGCTACTGTGGTGAGATACCCAGAAGCATTTCTGTGTAGTACCAACATGCAAATAACAGTTCTGTTTGGGAAGAAAATGGATTAACAGCAAAATTTAAACATGTCTCGTCTGAAGTGAAAACTATATGATTTTGCCTCCTGTAGATACTTCAGTGGCACCATCATCAATGGTTTCTGCTTCTGCTCCTTCAATATACAGTGTCCAAGCTCTTTCACTCCTTACAGAAGTAAGTAGGATCCTGCATTGCAATTGCTGTTCTCATCTATAGTTATTTACTTTTATTATTGAGCAGAGGAATACATCAGGTTTTTCTGGTAGAGTGTGTGGGGGTTTAGATCTTAATGAGGCATCCCACACACATCCACATCCTATCTTGAAACACAGTGTAGCTTTTCCCCTTTGTCAGAGACAACTGCTATAGGTTTAATGAGACATTAATTTTATTTTTAAGGTTCTTGCTTCTCTTTTGGACATGGTTTACCGAAGTGATGAGAAAGAAAAAGCTGTGCCATTGATTTCCCGTTTGCTATATTATGTATTTCCTTATCTACGCAACCACAGGTGACTTCTCTCTCTGTATATCTGATTTTTCTGAAGTTTAATTTTGACCACATTACAGACTTCTGCTTTTTTTTCCTTCTCAGGGGTACTTAATAGTTGATAAAGTATCATAAAGTTGATCTTTTACTCAAGAAAATTCTCAATCTCACTGACAAGTGAATGTTTCTGTTACAAGACCTGTAAAACTCCTGTACTTGGAGACTGTTGTTCTGACCATTGCTCTAATGAATTAAAATTCAGGGTAATACTTGATGGCTGTGTTTACATTAGCAGTTTGGTTTCAGCAGTAGTTTAGTTTTGAGGTGAATCCCGTGATTTGTCTCCATTTATGAAAAGCAGAGAGTTCTCAAACCAGTTTTGGTGCATGAATTAAATTCCTTTTGGAGGAAACTAACAAAGTCCTCTGCAGTGTGACCCAATAGGGCTTACTAATTCCTGACTGCACTGCCATGAGGAGATCTAGCATATATGTACCACGCTTACCAGTGGAAGGCTGTTAAACCTGGGACATTCTGAAGCAGTTCTTGCCAGTCAGATAATCCTACTCTTTTATTTGCCATCCACCATGATCCCTCAGATCTTCACTGCAACTACTTGTTTTGCTGCTGTTGTTTCCTCATCCTTTTATTCTTCTTACACGTAACCATTTCTTACTTTGTCTGCCCAGTTGCTTTTCTCTGTTGGTGAAAACTATTGCTTTTATTGCCATTTATTATAATTGCTTTTTAATTTCTACCAATCTGCCACTGGTGAGTCTTCTTTGTGAAGTGTCTAAACATCTGTTGGTAGTCTGAATGAGGACCAGGAGAGCAACTGGAGATAAGGAACAGCCTAGCAGATGTGCACTCACTGTAGAGAGCTAGAGGAAATCTTCAAGTCACAGCTCACTGTCAAGCTCGTGGCCCATTTCAAGTCTGAGGGTCACCATGCAAGTAGCATCCAGAGGCACTAATGTCACACATGCTGACATGTCACTGCTGCAACAGAGCTCTGAACCCTTGTCACATCCTAACCTTATCCAGCAAAATTCTGTGTCAGGAGGCATTCTGAGCACTGGCTGTGGGCAGAGAACAGCCATAGTGCTGTGTGCATCCCCTGAAAGATGCAGGCCTAGGTCATTTTTCATACTGGATGGTCTGGGGTATGGCCTGGAGCACACTTAAAGCACATGCTGGCAGAAGTCCTTCTCTGTGTTCAAAAGCCTTATCCTTGCCTCCTTGAGAAAAGCTGGAGGTTCAGGGGTGGGAGGCCACAGATAATAGATTACTGTGTTTCTTTCACAGACTCTCAGGCTGATAGGTTTCCTCTTTTCTTGTCTGCAGTGTCTTCTGAGGAGGGAGATACAACAGATCTAGTTCCCATGCAGCTGTGGTGCAGTATGTACTCCACAGAATTGTTTCAGAGCACTCAGAGGCTAGGACTGCACTGCAAAGGGAGGAAAATACCAGAGGCAATAGTGGAAGGGGATCTGCATGATGCTTGCATGATACCAGACTGGCAGAGGCTTGCAAGCAGGAGGCTCTTAAGAACTGGGAAAATGACAGCCTCTGCAGGAATGCCAGTGAACTATGTTCCCTGGCTGCGGCTGCTGCACATCTGACTGGAAGTAGCGGCTTTGCTTGCTGCCAAGTGCTGATCCCCAGCACTCTTTCATGGCTGATGCTTGGTCAAACAACAGAGCCCATTTATGTGTGCAAGGTTATAGAAGGGTGAGGTAGGGCAAGAGACAAGGAGATTTTAAGGCCCTTTCCTGTTCTCTCTGTTCTCGTAGGATGTTGTGCTATTTAGGCAGTGTTAGCCAATATTAGCCAATATTTGTAAATGTATAGACACTGTAGACTTTGTTTGCCCAGAGGGAAAGATGCCTGGTACTGTTTGTCCTCCCACCTATTCCCATTCTAGAGAAGTTACGTTCCAGTGTAACTTTTTTGTCCCCATAGGAGCAAAAGGAGGGAAATGAAAGCACTGTCTTCGTGGGGAGATTTACTTCCCATGTTCTAGGGTCTCCTAAGTCAGTCCTATTTCATCAGTCTTCATGCTTCCCTTTCCCCTAAACTCTCAGTGCTATCCACAAATCTCTTAAAAATCAAATGAACTTCCTTCTTTTAGCAGCTCTCTGCCAACTGGCAAGAAGCAACCTTCTCTTGCTTACTTTTTCTCCAGCAAACACTGGACAGCTGTTACTGCTGTAGCTATTGTCAGGCTTCAGGCTTCCCCTCCTCCTATCAGCTACTCTTTGGCTTCTACATTTTCCAAAGTAGGCCAGTGTATACTGAAGTGCGGGAGAGATCACAGCCGCAGTTCAGGGAGGGGAGAGGAGATTGTCTCGAGTGTTGTTTAGGTTGCAGTCAAAACCACTAGGTAGTATGCAGTACAGAGCAAAAAAAAGAGTATGAAGGATCAGGAAGATACAACCAGAATAACCAGGCATGCCTAAAAGGGGTGATGAGTTGAGTGTTACTAGGAAGTGAAGCCAGCAATCCTGAGAGTGCAGCAGGGTATGAAGATTATTCCATGCTCCAGGGAAATGAATCAGAGTGAAGCATAGAAATTTTGGGAAGCTCTTCTCTATTAATTTATTTGTCATTTTCTAATGTATTTACTAAAATGTACTTAACCTATCAGCAAGTCATTCAGATTCTTGATAAATGAAATGCATGCCATCCTTGTTGAACCCAGGCATATACTACTGCACAAGTGGATCATGTGCTTTTGCTATTTGCAATACCTGAAGAAAATCCTGTATATAGCCACCACGGAAACTGTTCCTGGAAATTACAGCATCATGCTGTAATGCTGAGCTTGCTATAACCCAAGCACTCACTCCATCTCTGCTCCACTGCTGTTAGGATGTCCTTGTGAACTAATGCAGGGGGTAATGACAACTTCTGCAAGGGCAAGGGAGGTGATTGTCTCTCTCTACTCTTTCCTCACGGGGCCCCAGCTGGAATGCTGCGTACAAGTTTGGGGTCCCTAACACCAGAAAGATGTGGAGCTTTTGGAGAGGGTCCAGAGGAGGGCCATGAAGATAATCCAAGGGCTGGAGCACCTCTCCTATGAAGATAAACTGAAGGAACTGGGCTTGTTCAGCCTGGAAAAGAGAAGGCTGTGGGGAGACTTCATTGTGGCCTTCTAGTATATAAAGGCATTTCATAAACATGAGGGAAATAATTTTTTTTATGATGGTAGATAGTGATAGGATAGTGATGGTTTTAAATTAAAGGAAGGGAAATTCAATTTAAATGTTGGGGAAGTTTTTACTGAGAGAGTGGTGAGATGCTGGAACGGTTCCCCAGAGAGGTTGTGGATGCCCTCTCCGTGGAGGTGTCAGAACAGCTGCCATACCCAGGATTTCCAGGAAGCTATTTGACAGGCATCAGTTCATCAAGGGTCTCTTCTCCTTGCTCCAACCACGTTAGGCTTGGCCTTCGTTACGTTTGTGCCACGTTAGGCACTCCTTCCCTGCTGTACCTTGCAGAACCTGTTGACTAGTTTGTGAACTTTCTTTTGGGGAAGATTTGAACCACGCATGTAGTTGAGGTGGGCAGTGCCATGATAAGTCTAATCAGAAAATACCACCCTATACAAGATACTCTGAAAATGTGAGGAATTTCTGCAGAAAATGCTTTGATCAACTGATCTGCGACTGCTCTGAATTAATGAGCTAATGTAAACACAGCCTATTCTGTTTCTGAGATAATTTGGTTAGAAGTTCTGCAGAAAACAGTTAATTTTCCAGATACACAAATGTAACTTTTTTAAAAGATTGATATTTATCATTACTTTTCCTCTTCCCCCAGTACCTACAACATTCCTAGTTTCCGTGCTGGTTCTCAGTTGCTCAGCTCATTGAGTGGGTACGCCTATACCAAGCGAGCATGGAAAAAAGAAGTTCTTGAGTTGTATATGGATCCGGCTTTTTTCCAGATGGACACTTCATGCACTCAGTAAGACATGAGATGGTAGCACTCCAAGAGTTTATTTGATGATTTGCAAAGAAAGACTTAGAGACTAATATTGAATGTTCTCTATAGTACTTGCTCACAGAATGTAGTAACATTAAAAAACAGATCTCAACAAACTCAACTCAATTATAGAAATTTAAGTTATCTTTATGGCACAGAAGAATAAACCTCTCTCTTGCTAACAACTGCCATTAGTGTTTGGAAATGGCATATAATGGAGTTGAAGGACATAGAATTCAGTATGTGTAAACTGGATAAGGTTCTGCATAGTGAATTTGTGTTGGAAACTGTTGCCTAGTATGAATTGTTTGTCCAATATCTTTTTATGTGAGTTTACACCAAGGCTTTCTCTGGTTATCCATGTCCTTTATATTGTTGATATTTTACTTATCCAGTTCCTTCTATGTCTTATCCAGTTGGAGATCCATTATCGATCACCTTCTAACACATGAGAAAACTATGTTTAAAGACTTGATGAGTAAGTATTAGCTACTGATAACTTATTTCTGCATTAATTTTAAATTAATTATATTTAAATTTGGTTCTGAGCTGTTTGGTGTCTAATGTGTCAATAAAATGCAGGCAACACTGCGTCTGCAGAATTGATTATGTGACCAACTTCATTCTCCACTGAAAACTGTTCTCAGTTCAGACTGTATTTTGGTAATGTTAACATTTTAAAAATATTTACTCCAGAAATGTTAATGTTGGACTGCTGCAAGCACATTTGGCCATTATTTTAAGTTGCTGAAAGGTGACTGTAGCACTGTTGCCTGTGAGAAAGCAAGGAGACTCCAGTTAACTTTGCATGCATCTGTATACTTGCACAGAGCTGTGGGAATATGGTGCACCAGTACAGCAAGTCTTTGAGCAACATGCTTTGATCTCTAGTTCAGGCTTGAGGACAATATGGAAGAAAAGTAATTGGAGAAGAGATGGGATAGGACCCTAACATTTGCCTGGAGCTTTGAAAGATAAAGCAGCTTTTGTCTCTTGTTGAAATCTTTTAAAAGAATAGTTGAAGGCTTACAATGCAAATGTTAATGCATTTTTTTTAACATTGTATGTTTTTAAATTTACCATTTTAGTTTTGTCTTGGTAAGAATTAAAAGTCTTGAAATCCCTCAGCCACAGTTTTAAGAGTCTGAAACGAGGAGACTTGTGCATGTTAGAGGCAGGGCTTTAAAGTTCTGGACAGCTGCAGAGTATGTTTTATATAATTCTCCTGCTAGTTTGAGTAGATCAGGATCAACACCAACATGTTACTCCAACCTGTAGGTATAAAGGTAGTAGTTATTTCTAAAAGATCTCAGGATACAGAAATTATTTTCATCTCAAGTCACTAGTCATTTTATGGCTAAAGAAGTAATTCTTATGTATTACAGATATGCAGAGCAGTGCCTTAAAGCTCTACCCAAGTTTTGAACAAAAAGCAATGTTGTTAAAGCGGCAAGCTTTCGCTGTCTTCAGTGGAGAAATTGATCAGTATCATCTCTATCTTCCCTTAATACAAGGTAAGATTTGTGGTCTTTTCCATTCAGCTCTGATACATATGTAAACATTAAAATTATAAAGAAAAAAAAAAGGAAGTACAACATTCCTTTCTTACATAATTTATTTCAGAACGACTGACTGAGAACCTCCGTGTTGGACAGACTTCTTTAGTTGCCGCACAGATGTTCCTCCTCTTCAGAGTTCTATTGTTAAGGATTTCTCCTCAGCATCTAACCTCCTTGTGGCCAATTATGGTAACTGAATTGGTAAGGAATGAGTGATAACTTAAAATTAGTTTCTCACATTCTTTGCATTTCACCTCCTCGCAGATCCACCCCTGGATGGAAGGAAATGTTTTCATAGGTCTGCGTTAGTTTGATAATTTGGAAAAAGAAGCAACACTGTTATTAGGAGATACCTTTCTGATCAATGTTGCTGTTGTTGATAATGCAATTTCTTTCACAATTTCTTAACTTGTTTAAGAGTTTGGTGGCTCTGTATGTGGCAAGGGGGTTGGAGATTAATGATCTTTGAGGCCCCTTTCAACCCGGGCCACTATGTGATTCTGTGAGTAAACTAAGAGTCTGTGGTTCCTTATAGTATTTACACTAATATGTGAAGCGTATCTTTTTATAATTGAGCTGTTCAAATGATTCAGCATTTCCATAAATTTATGTATTTCAAGATTCAGACGTTTCTACAACTGGAAGAAGAATTAACTGAGGAAGATGAACCATCAAAGTAAGAATTAACATTTAACTGATGAAAGCTTGTAAAACCTGCGAAAGCTGTTAGCAATTGCGCTTGCTCTGTATCTGCCTTTTTTTTTTCACTTGTGTATTTCTGACACAGGTAAATCAGTATTTTTTTTTAAGCAGCAGAAATAGTTATAGTTAGAAAAAACTGGTACATAACAGTTGCATACAAGGATATGAAAATCAGTGTTTGAATATTGAATATTTTAACATTGACTTTTTTCTGAATACTTTAGATATCTTTCCACGTACAGCCTTTTATATAAATCTCAGTGTTAATACGGAATAAAAATAAGACTTTTGTGCACAGGTGCAAGTGCACATTTGTGTAAATGTGTACATTTCCCTTTTGCTGAATGGAAAACACTTGGTGGATTTGTGTTTAATCGTGTGCTTCTCAATTTTTACTACCACAGAAGCAACAGCAAGTTAAGCAAACAGAAAGTCTCAGGTGATGGCAGTGGATCTGACATCCAGCAGAATGAGCTGTCTTTGTACTTATCTGCTTGCAAGTTTTTAGACACAGCGCTTTCATTTCCACCTGATAGGATGCAGCTGTTCCAAATGTAAGTCCTCTAGTTGCTTAACTGTTCTGCAGGTTGTTTCTGTACTTGTCCTTTAATATAATTCCAAATATTAATTTCACTGTTTGTTCTTTTCACAAGTGCAGACTTTGATTCTAGAACAAAAGTAATTTGGGATATTTAGAAAGGCAATTCAGTCTTGTCAATGTAGGAAGATTTCACTTTATTTGAAGGTTATTTCACATAGAAAAATAGGGAGAAGAACAAGAAGGACAGTTCTTTGTTTTCCCTTTGCCACACTTGGGAGTCTTTTGGAGGCAGTTGCATTTAAGTACTGATATAGTACTGAAGTAGTAACTTCCTAGTTCACTAAGTTTAGCTCTGGTAATAGCACAACTTTGTAATTATGACAGCTCTTTCTGTGAACAAACCAGTGCTTTGCTAACTATGTTTGATCCAAACAGGGAATTTTTTTCCTGTCTTCTTAGCAATGTAATCCTTTTGGTTTAGGTATAAATGGGCATTTGTCCCAGAGGTGGACACAGAGTCTTCTACTGTGACTTCTCATCTAGTAGAAAATCATCAGGAATGTAGACCACACATAATACGAATAATGGATCTGCTAAAGATGAAATACAGGGTAAAGAAAGTGCTTTACTTATTTTTCTTTTGTAAGCCTTTAACTTTTCTAAATTAGTGGTAAGATTGTAAGTTGGGCAAGAGGTTTTTAGATGTTAAGATTCCATATGGTTTTAAAAATTATCTGCCTGCTTTCACAAATGTATCTTGAAGATTCCAGTTTTCTTTTGCATGTGGAGTGTCAGGAAGTTTACCGTAAGACCATTTTAAATTGCCATTAAGGTTTAGTATTAGTACTTACAGAAGAATACGTTAGTATTTATCAGGTACCTTTGCATCCTGCAGCTTTCTGATACCTGCTCCTGAAGGCTTGTCCAAATTTCCAGTGTTCTGAAATTGTGGGACTTTCATTTAACAGAAGCTCAAATCTGAATATAGAAATAACTCATTATACCATCTATACAATTCATATTGAGATGGAATTGTAGGCTGTGGACCCCTCAGTATAAAACCAAGTGTATAATACAGGCTTCAAAGGAGCCATATTTAGTAGGATATTGTGTCTTAATGCAGTAAGTAAATCTTGGTTTGCATGTTTACAGGAAAGAAATAACACCGATGAGGGAATTTCCAAAAGGCACAAATTTCCTCTTTTGAACTTCCGCTCTATATCTAGCATTACCCAGCTCATGCCCTTCTTCAAGACACTGTGTTGTGCATTTACAACAAAAGGGAGTGAGGCCCACAATTCACATTCTTCTGCATCTCTCTCTGCGGACTACGTTGGCAGCAATGGCATAAGGATCTTGCAACAGCTTGAAGAGAGTGTTGAATGTGACTTCCTTGAAAACATGGAAAGTTAGGCTGCATATCAGACACTTATGTGGTTAAGCAGCCAAAAAACAAAGAGAAAACATTACTGCAATTCTTTTTTTTTTTTTTTTTTTTCCCCATTTTAAAACTACATTTTAGGTTTTCTTCCAGCTCTTATGGGATGTACTTCAATAATTCAAGCTTCCCAGTGGTGATAAAAAGCAGGATTCTTTGTGTTCTGGGGAGGCAGGAAGGAGGATGTACAGCTTGGTGGTAATTTACCACTGTTACTGTATTCTTTTACTTCTTTTCCTTGTGAAGGATTAAAGAGATTTGTAAATAATGGTAGAAGATTTTTAACTTGGTGAAAGTAGCAACTGTACCATTTATCCAGTAATTTCTCAAGTAAGTATTTTACACTACTTTTGGAACTGTGATCTGAAAGTAAATTTGCATGTCAGTGTACAATCAGTTTGCAGAAAAGCCATGTATTGAAGTTAAAGCCCCCTTCTATTTCTTCTTCCTTTAACTGATCCTAAAACTTAGCATCTTGTGAACAGGTAATTTAAGTTTCAAACAGATCTATTTTATATGCCTTACTACGCAAAGAACTGCAGACTTACCACGTTTGTAATTTCAGCTTTGTATTATAAGACTGCTCTTCAGGATGAGTGATTCCTAAATAAAAGACATGTACATGTGCAAATGACCAATCTATGCAGTAACATTTTATAATTTACACTACCTTGAGGGCTTTTCATTTTAATTAGCTGACTAATCAAAGAATATTCTAATTCAGTTCTTAAATGAAAGAACTTTGTTCTTTCAGTGGCTAAGATCATCTCGCAACTTACAAAATGCAGTTAAATGAAGATAATCCTGTAAAAATATAAATTACTGTAAGCCCCCAGCCTAATTTGAAGGAAAATTCATTTTTTAAGAAACACTTTTTATTCAAACAAATGTATTTGGCTGTTCCTACGTATTATAGGAGGAAGGGATGTCATTCACAGTGCCATGACTACGATAATGTTCAAGGTGCAGCTTCTTTTGGATCTGCACCGCTTCTACCATTCAGGACCTGGAAGAGACAGTGATTAGTTGTGCTACCATACAGTGAAGCTGCTTGTCTGAAGGACACTTCTGACAGTTAGTGGATGAGTACCACCATAGCCACACGTACACCAAAAAGCTTAGATGAACGTTGTTTCTTCCATGAGGAGGTGGACTCCATTGAGGTTTTGATATTGGGTTTTCTGACTGGATTTGCAATACTGATTTCTTTGGAAGGGAAAGTTTATCATAGTTTTCATGATGAAAAGCTTTGTCTGCTTCTTTATTTAAACAATGTTGCCTCCACAGAAATGGAGTTACAAGACAAAGCTGCAGACTGGTACTTGTGTTATTTGAAACATCTCAACCGAGGTAAATGTGCTTGGTGTTGGACTTCCATCATTACTGGTGTTTTTTTCCTAATTTAAATAATAATAATAATAAAGGACATGCCAAATGAATAGTTTAATGTTAGGTTGTAAGATCAGGGATTTTTATTTATTTCTTGTGAGTTTTAAAAAAAAAAAAAAATGGAAGGTTATTTGGCAGTGTTTTTTACCTACAGATGTATGAATCCATCTTTGGATTATAAACTAAAATAATGAAATGCTAAGCAACATGCTTTACAACTGTAATGCTGTATGAAGGTAATGTGATAGACTTGTGCTAAATTTAAAGTTTCTGTGAATTTTGACTGTTAAGGAAAGCGATAGAATGAGATGTGATACTGTGTAGTACTAGGGATGTGAATTATTTGTATTAATATAATTTATTAACAATCTAATGCTGTTGGAATAAGCACAAATGAAAAAAAAATCCTTTTTAAGCATCACTTGAAAATTGGAAAAGGATATTTTAAAATAATTTTGTCAATTGCTTACATAAGCTCAATGATTTTCTTTTTAATAATATTGCTAATACTCAGGATGACCTGGTAGTTTGACTTTTAGCTTTCTGGTGAGTGGTTGCATTCCATGCTTAGGGACTACTTTTAAAATCATGAGATGCTATTGAATTGCTGTTAACAATCTAGGACAACTTTCTGCTACTAAACCTTTTGCTTTATGTTCTCCTCTAAGGTCTAAACCTGTGTCTTCACTTAGTTTACTCGCTAACAAAAGGTGATAAAGCACTAACTTAGATGGTTCCCTTTCCCATTCCCTTTGGAAGGGAATGTCCCATTCTATCTGTCAGGGCTTCAGATGTGCATGAGATCAAGCATCACCATCCCACCACCCAGGATGTGGTGGTAAGCATTAAAAATTGAATCTGTGACTGAGCTGCTTGGAACTCTAAGATGATCTTACCTTCTGCAAAAATAGCACTTGCTTCTCTCTTGCCTTCTGTGTGTGCTTTTGCCTTTGTTCTGTGATTCTGCAGATTGCTGCTTTAAGTGGCCTGCACTCTTTTATCATTATAAAACGGGTTCTGAACAAAAAAGAATGGGCTCAACTGAATTAGTCTTGGATGGCAGAGACTTGCCACTGAATATGCTTAAAGGTATCGTTAGCAGCGGAACTTCATTCCTTTTCTACACGGGACTCACTTTAGTTCTTACAGTACTGCATTTAAATCCATGTGAAGGAAGATGGTTGTACTACCAAAGCAGTATAACCTCACTGTAGATATATCTGATAAACTTTTGCTTCAAACTCAGTAGCAAGAGCTGGAGAGAAAATGCCTTTGCTGTGTGATGTAGTTTTTGCTTGTTTTCAAGCTTAGTTTTCTCTTTTTCATACTTCAGCTTTGAGACAGCATAGCAACAGTGCATGATACATAGGGGGAAAAGTATTTAATTATTCACAGAGGTTTCCTTTTCCTGAAGGGAAGAAAAATACAGTTGGTGCAACCAAGATAACTGCCAAAGAACAGCAGAACTTTAAATACGGAGCATTAAATAATGGCTAATTGTATTCAATGCTACATTTGAATGTAATTCTAATAATAATATTAAATGTTATTTTTGAAATACCTCTTCAGCTGCAATTCTCATTTTTAGACTACTGCTGATGGATTGTCTTTTTCTCTGATTCTGTAAAAGCTCTCAAATTCGATCTCAATGCATGAAGGCTTCTGTGCAAAGCTCCAGACCTTATCTGGGTCCCTGCAGCTGTGGCTGCGTGCCTGCCCATACATCCCCATTGGACAAGGCTGCACCATCTCCCCTGTCTTATCTCCCACCCTTCCTGTTGCATGAAGTCTCTTCACCAGAGACTTCTGAAGTTCATACTGATGCTTTTGTATGTTCTGGGCAAAAGCCCTGAAAGTCCTGCCTTTTTCATTTGGGGGGAAGAGAACTCTTCAATTCGGCTTGAAGTTCTAATGCTAGAAAAGTATGGTTTCAATGACCCTGATGAATAAGCTATTTTCATATTTCACCCTTTCCCCTGAGTCTTTGTACATATTTTTAAGGTTATGCAGTGTATCTTTATATATTTAGTTATATTTTGAAAATGCTTGCAATATGTTGCATGTATTCTGGGAAATATTGTAGCATAGTACAAATAGTATTAATTTAGTAGCATTAAAGTACTCAATGCCTGTTGAGTACCTGCTTAGTCAAATAAAGATCATCAGGTTTGGCAGTAACAGAACACCTCCGTGATTTGCAATTACTGTCCCAAAGCAGCTCCCCGACTTACTTATTCAATGCTGGTTGTCTTCTGGCGCTCAGCAGCAGAGCTTCAGGAGGAGCCCTTGGCAGAGGTGAGTGCCCAGCAGACTAGGCCTTCTGATTTCATCTCTGCCAACAGAGCAAAGGGATGGTATGAGCAGGCAGATGGAAAGAAAGAGTTGATCAAAACTTGATGGTACTTTCAGGCAGGGGCTGATGTATGTTTTCCATAACTTCTTGAGCAGAGGCTTGTAAGGTTTTGATCAGCATGAATTACTGTACCTCAGGCTTTTAGTTCAAACTTTTTATTTTACAATACCTGTATCTTCGGTTGTTGGGTTGCTTTTTTCTCTTTGACCTCCACCAAAATAAGAGCTGCTTTCTAGTAGGAGAAAACTGAGATGACAGGATTGAAAAATTGGAAGAATAAAGAAAGGAGATAGAGAGGAACATGTAGTGTAGTTATAATAGACAATGGGGAGCTTCCCAGCTATAAATACATATATGAAAATAATCAAACCCCACAACTGTCTCAGGTCTTTCACAAAGAAAATAGTCTGGACTCAAGGTAAGTAACTGTCCACTGCTCAAAATACCTGCAGATAGTTGAAATGCAAGAACTTTAATGAAACAGCTGACAGATTTTGTTCTGTGAGTAAACAGGATGTGAAATATGAATTTTGTGAAATATGCACCTTGCTGTAGATGTTACTTAGCCAACTTGGGAGAACACAGTACTAAGTCTTCAGTGAGGGAGACTCTAGTTACTCCTGCAGTCTCTTTTCTTAGTGGTGTGATTTATACTGGGAAAACTGCCAACTCATTAATAATGGCACTGGAATTTGACCTCAGTGCTGTCTTTGAAAAACACATAAGAAATCCACTGGAAAAAGGGAAAGGGAATTGTGCAATCTTTATTGTGCAAGTGTATCTGACGTAGCAGCTGCAGTTAGCAAAAAGAGTCAAAGCCCTTTAAGTTCTTACCTTGCGTTCTGGGGTTCGCGCCTGAGCAAACAGTTGCAAATCTCTGAGTTGATTTGTTTTGGTTTTTTTATTCCTACAAATGATGTTACCAAATACTCAGAATTACAATTTCACTTGGATCACAACAGAAGCAATCCACTACTACAGCTGAAAGACAAAACAGAGAAGCAACGTCAGCCCCTGCTGTTAGGAACTCTGCCCACATAGAGCAGTTACACATTTATGTAGCTTTTGGTTATGCATCTCTGAACTGTCAGATAAGTAGGAGTACAGTAAATAGCAAAAGAGAACAATAACATTTGGATTACTTCATGTAAGGAGGAATCTGCACAGACAGGTAAGAAAGCTTGAGACGACAGTACATCTTCTTACAAACAATTCATTCCTGTATTACTCAAAGGCTCCCCAGGTCATGCTGTTGTGCATTTCTTAGTTGGGAAGATTGATAAAGGTAATGCTTCGTGAGCCCTTTACTTCTGCAGTGTGCGGATTTCCTTTCTCGTTCAGGGACAAACTGACACTGAAAATGAAAGGGCCAGAAACAGATCTTCTTGCTTCCATTTCATAAAATCACAGAATGGAAGGAAGCTCAAAGCCCATCCATCCCAACCCCTGCCAGGGGCAGGGCTGCCCTTCACCAGCTCTGCTGCCCAGGGCCCCATCCAACCTGGCCTTGTGCACCTTCAGGGTTGGGGCACCACAGCTTCTCTGGGCAGCTGTGCCATCGCCTCACCGTCCTCTTCAGTAATTTTTTTTCCCCCCTGCTATCTAAATCTCCACTCTTTTAGTTTTAAACCATTCTCCCTTGACCTCTCAACTACCAGACCATGAAGAAGTTGATTTCCCTCTTGCTTATAAGCTTCTTTTAAGTAGTTAAAAAAAAGCCTGTAATGAGGTCTCCCTGGAGCCTTCTCCAGGCTGAAGAAGCCTAGCTCCCTCATCTTGTCTTCACAGGAGAGGTGCTCCAGCCCTCTGAGCATCTTCCTGCCCTCCTTTGGAACTGCTCCACCAGTTCCACTTTTTTTTATGCTGGGGCCCCAGACCTGGATGCAGTACTCCAGATGGGGCCTCATGAGGGCAGAGCAGAGGGGAATGATCCCCACCCTCTCCCCATTGCCTACTCTTCTTGTGATGTAGCCCAGGATACTGTTGGCTCTCTGGGCTGTGTGCACACTGCTGCCTCATGTCTAGCTTTTCATCCGTCAGGACACCTGAGTCCTTCTCTGCAGGGCTGCTCTCAGTGCGTTCTCCTCCCAGTCTGTATTCATAACTGGGATTGCCCCAAATGCAACACCTTGCACTTGGCCTGGTTGAACCTCATTACGTTCCCACGGGATCACTTTTCAAGCCTGCCCTCTGGACGGTGTCCGTTCTACTGTACGAGCTGCACCACTCAGTTTGGCGTCGTCTGCAAACTCGCTGAGGATGCACTCGATCCCACTACCCAGCTCACCGATAAAGATGCTGAAGAGCACTGTCCCGGGACGGACCCCTAAGGGACACGACCTGTGTCCGATCCCACCTGCACGAAGACCTATTCACCGCAACCCCGCGGCTGCGACCATCCGCCAAACTAATTCTCCACCCACCGATCCGCGGGGCCGCCCGGGACAAGAGCCCGCTCGAGCCCCACCCCCAGGCGTGGCCGGTGAGCCCGCGCATTTTTACCTAAAAAAGAGAGGGAAGGCAAAACACAACAAACCCGCCCCCTCCGCGGCACGCCAGCCTCGCCCCACCCGCTCTCCGAGCCTTTGGACGGCCGCAGGCGACGGCCCCGCCTCCCCGCTGGCTGCCGACCTGCGGCAGCGCGTCGCCCTCTCCCCCGCCCGCCGCCGCGCACTCATCTGTCCGCGCGGAGAGGGCGTGGCCTTACCTCTAAGCCCCGCCCCCTCCCGGAAGAGGTTGAGGCTGGCGGCGGAAGCGCGCCGGGAGGGGGGCGAGGCGGATGTGCGCGCTCTGGGCGCTCCCCGACGCCCCCATTCCCCGCTCCTTCCCGCCCCGGCTGTCGCTGCGGCACAAAAGATGGCGGCGAAAACTCAGGGCGGCATTCGCCTCAGCGCGGTGAGCGCCTCAGCGCGGGGCCCGGTAGCGGCGGAGGGGTCTCTGAGAGGCCGGGTGGCCCTTACCGAGGGAGGAGGAGGCGGAGGAGGAGGAGGAGACGGAGGAGGAGGAGGGGCGAACCGGGGTGGCTGCGCGGGGCCGCGGAGGCTGAGGGAAGCTCCCGCTGAACGCCTCTGGGAGGAGGAAGCGGGCGATTGGACGGCGGCCGCCGTTCCTTAGCCGAAGCGGGAGGCTGTAGGGCGGCTCGCTGTGCCCGGGGGCCGGGCCCTTGCGGGAAGGCAGCTCCAGTCGGGCTTGCAGCTGCTCCCGGCGGGAGGTGGCCGGGCCGTCTTTACAGCCGAGGCCGGTGGGGTGGGCGCCGCTGCTGTGCTGTGCTGCTCGGCCTCCCGTTGTTCACTGCCGTCCTTCTTCTGCAGCCGATCTCTTCTTTATTTACTCTCAGTGCGAGCGGGGTTGCCGCTGTTCTTTCAGTTTCTCAATACGCCGTGGCTGAAACTGGCTATTTTCGAGGGACTTTCTCGTTTGTATGGTTGTACGCCTCTAAGTAACGCTAGCAACGCAAACACGTAGCTTGGGGCCTTGCTTTGAAATCTGGAATTAAGTGGTGGGGGGAAGCTGGATCCTTACAGGAAAATAACTGTTCAGGTGTCAGAATGTAAAGCATACGTCACGTGTTGGACTGGGTCATCTTTATGGGTCCGTTCCAACTCGGAATATTCTGTGGTTTATGGTGCTTCAGTGTGCCCTCAGCGCTGCTTAAATTACCTTAATTTAATTGGCGTGATTGCAGAGATTACGTGTAAGTGTCACCTGCTTGAAGTTTGGGAATTGCACTTTCATTCAGCATCTAAGTTCCTGATTTTTATTAGGGAAGGGCTCATCTGGCTTTTTAGATAACATAATGCTTTAAAAAAAAAAAAATTGAAATCTCCCTTTGCATTTGAATGCGTGAGTAGTTTAATTTAGGGGAAAAGCATGCCTCTGTTAACATCTGTTGTGGGTAGCACGACTTGGGATATGATTTAAAATCTATCTTGGGTTAGAAATCGCATTGGCAAACTTACAGATCAGAAGTCTCAACTAGAATTGGTGTAGCTAACAGCAATTGGTAATTTTCTGATATGTATTCAGGATGCTCTTTTTTTTTGTTGTTGGTAGTCATAACTTAAGATTTTCATTCAGTGTATTTTTAACTGCAGCTTTATTTATTTATTTAGGTAGGTTTTCAATACAGAGATGGAATAGCTGATAACAGTTGTTGTAGCAGATAACACCTTTGTGTACCTTCAGACAATGTTTCCCAGTGAAGAGCAATGCAGAACCGGCTCTTGGTCTCTTCTGTCAGCCACTGCTCTGTGGAAATAAGTTGGGCTTCAACAGAACGTGTGCATTAGTTTCATAGGCATGCAGGAACCACACAGGTGGTGTAAGCAGGCCTGGCAATTCATTCTTATTCTGGTGTTTATCTCTTGCTGTTGCTCTGGTAAAATGTTTGCTCATGTGCACCATGAGACATATTGTGAGAGTGATCCAGGTTAAAAATACGATTTAAAAAAAGGGTTGTAATTTGCATCAGATCCGTGCTGCAGTTCGTTGTTGTGGTCGTGTAAGTGTATCAGCATAACTGAAAGGGAGAAGGAAAGGAGAATGTAGCGGAAAGGGGATGAGCAGCCAGATGGAAGAAAAGCAGGAGGAGGAGAATGATAGTGGTGTTGTTCATCCAAAAGCTGCAAAATAGCTCTGATAGACAAGGCTGCTTGCTCAGTAGTTATGATTTGTGCATGAAATGATCCGTGAGGGATGGAATAGTTCAGTTTTTCTTGGAAAACTGGAATTCCCAAAGCTGTTGTTTTATTGTTAAATATTTACTGCTCATAATTATAGGAGATGCTCTGCCTGGTACAGTGAGTTTTTCTGTCATATGAGCTGTAGATACAGTTTGAAATTTACTTGGATTTTCAGAGGGAATTTGCTGCACTTCTCAGGATGCCAAATGGAATAGCTAACCAAAACCCACTCAATGACAGAATATTTTTGGTCAGTGTGCAAAGCAGCTGGATCATTTTAACCACAGCCATACTGACAAAGCCAAAAGTGAGCATTCACGTGGGGATTAACACTCATACTGTATCCTTAGTACTGCATAACTCATAAAGCTAAATAGGCTTAAATATTTCCTACCGAGTTCCACTTCAGTTGTGTTAGCAGCTGGATATGCTTTGAAGCAAGCTAGAGAGTGCCCTTCAACCACTCTTCTCCATCTTCTTAGTCTGATTTTCTTGTGTATCCTTGTTTCACAGCCTCCCATTAGTAAATGATGCTATCTGCTGCAACTCTTTGAAAGCAGGACACAAGGGGAGATGGTGTTAAGTTGAAGGAGGGAAGATTTAGGTTGGATGTCAGGGGGAAGTTATTTACAGAGAGAGTGGTGAGGTGCTGCACAGGCTGCCCAGAGAGGTTGTGGATGCCCCGTCCCTGGAGGTGCTCAAGGCAAGGTTGGATGGAGACCTGGGCAGCCTGGTCTAGTATTAAATGTGGAGGTTGGTGGCCCTGGCTGTGGCAGAGAGGTTGGAGATTCATGATCATTGAAGTCTCTTCCAACCCTGGCCATTCTGTCATTCTGTAGCTTTTCCTGTGAACTGCCCTCCAGGCTGCTCACCTTTAGCTGAAGGAGCTTTAGAGCCAAGAACCAATTTCTTAAAGATCTCATGTTCCAACTCGTATCTTCTAGTTTTGTATAACTGTTCACGTTCCTGCAGTTGGGTACCACCTCTCAGCCTTTTTCACAACCTTACCATCTGAAACAGCAATTCAGGAGAGACTGGCAGAATTTTTATGTTTGTTTATAAAAGATGTTTCTTTTTGGAGTTAGTCACTGGTATGCAGCTGTGACACGAGGAATGGAGAGGCATCGCGTTATCAAGGCACTGCATGAGGAGATTTTCTTGCTGTACTGATCCACACTTTGCCTCACAGAAAAGAGGACACAGCTCTGATTGTGTCAGTCCCACAGATGCTGAAGTTCTTTCTTTCCTCAGCGCTGTCTGAGCAGGGCAGGTTCACAACTATAAATTCATGCCTTTCAAAACTACTTGTGGTCCTTTTTTCAGGTCTTAAGATCTGCTGAGCTGTCATATAGTAGACTGAAGAAATTGAAAGCTCCATTTAACAGGAGCTGTGGTGTACATGCCATTTCCGGTAATTGGGCTCCATGTCTTAAATCCTAAATTATTTGTAAGCATCCATTAGGAATTTTTTTAAAAGCACAGTGACTTGGGCTGATTGAATTCACCACAGTTTATAAAACAGTAATTTTAAAACACGTGGCAGTAAAGAGGGTAGTGTCTGTCTATACTTGCAGTCTAAATTGGTGGAGAAATACCAGGGCTAACTTGCAATCCAAAAGTGTGTCTGCTCTCTCAATGACCTTTGAATCAAGGTGAGATTTCTTGGCAGTTGATGCTGATCTGAACAAGGGCTGCTGCAGCTTTGCTCCCACTGTGGCACCTGGCTCTGGAACTTGTTTGTAGCGTTATTCTTTTCTCTGATAAATGATCTTGGGGACCCAAAGTGGTTGCTTCCTCTAGTTTAGTCCTTACTAATTATGTGAAAGTGATTGTTACTGTAGCAGTTGTATAAAATTGGTTGTGTGGATACATACATGCTATTCTAAAATATTTTCCTTATTTTATATATGGTATGGATTATGTTTTCTCATGCACCTGTACTTCACGAGAGCTATTTCCAGCGTTGGATATTCCTAGATGCTTTTTATGCCATCAGTGTAACTGCACCAATGAGGCATAAGCATATATGTGCACTGCTCAAGAGCTTGTAAAAGCATAATTACAGATATTCTCTGCAAATACAGCTATACCAAGGTCAACAATTAAACTTCCCCAAACGTTGCATTGACAAATCCATAAGTTATGTGATTCCTAGTTCTGCTTTTCCTGTTCTTTTGATCTGAGTGAATGTATACAAACCTAGGCTTTCATAAATGACTTGAGAATACTTTTATCACTGACATCTATAAAATGTGTCACATAAATACATATTTTACTGTGCACGTTGCCGTCTAGTCCTAGTAGTGCCTACATTCTTGTGGTTACATCTGATAGTAAATGAGGCTGAAATATACGAGCCTGAATTGCCAGCATTTACAGCTACCATTTGAAAGAATCTGACAGGTCCCAGTAACAGGCAGTTTTGATCAATATGGGCAAAGGGAGCAGTGACATTAGACACTAAGTCACTGGGTGTATTAGGTGGGATTTTTTTCCAGATTAATACTCATGGTTTAAAATGTGCATTTTTGATATTTGAGAGCTTATGTTAAGTTTGTTACTTTTGGATGGAAGCATGGATGGGTTTTTGTAACTTCACCCTGGATCACAAACTGATGCTGTTGTTTCTGTTTTATTTCAGCTTTGCCCAAAGTTCCTGCATACCAACTCTACCAGTCACACCTGGCCCTTCAGTGCAGTTGCTGAGCTTATAGGTATGTGGATCACTAATACTTATGAAACTTTATCTCCAGCTGTGATTTTTTTGTTCCATCAAATAAGATCTTACTCTGTTCCTGCTTGATGTGGTTAACCAGGTTTGAATTTTGTTAGGACGAATACATACAGGCACACGTTAATGTGAGAGAGCACGCTCATGTAGGAAATTGTTATGCATTCTTATTAATCTCTATTTCTAACTGAGTGACAAAGGGTCCAACCGTGAAAGCATACTGACCAGCTTGCACACTGTCAGCCTTTGTTATTCCCCTTATTCCTCCACCCTTGTTATCCTACACTTTTTTTCACCCGTTGGACCTTTCCATTTTCTTCACTTCAGTGCTTCTTCCAAAACATCTTTCAGTAATTTCTTGACATTGACACAATGCCCCTCAAACATCCTTATTTTGTTTTGGGTTATGGTTGAGTAGTTCCTTTTAACAGTCCATTCAACAGCGTCCCAGGAGTTCTGTTATTGCTTTTATCATCTGCTGTTTGTTAGGGGTTGAGTATAGGTTTGACTTATTAGAGCCTGTTTGTCATTTTTGTCTTTTATTTTGAGTAACTGGTAAGTAAATACTCTTGTTTCCTTAGTTGGGGAATGGTTAGTGTACTTTCTCTGTTTCCTTACAGTAAAGGTGGGGTATGAAAAGATCTGTTAATCTAGCAGTTGTCTGCTGCCAAAGGGAGCTGCTTTTGTGGCCGCACATTCCTTTGCTTCCTCTGCCCTGGTTTCGTCGTTTGTTAATTCAGAAGAGGAGTAACCTAACAAAATAAGAACTTTTCTGTTAGATAAGGCCAGAATTGCCAGAAGGACGGAAATCATAACCGTATGACTATGGGGAGGACTAGATGTTTTGGTGATGAGTCATGGCTGAAAAGCTAAGTCATTTCAGCTGTCTTATCTTGTCATGCCATACCTGGCTGGAATTAATAAACATATGCAGTCTAAGGCATAGAAGCTTGCCTTCTTCCTTCCTTTGGCCTCTGTTTCGTCATATGCTTTGCTTTAAAAAAGGTCTGCAGAACCACAGAATCGTTCAGGTTGGAAAAGACCTCTGAGATCATCAAGTCCAACCCATCCCCATTGTGCCCATTCACCATGTCCTCAAAAGCTCAGCTCCATGCTCCTCACTGGGCCCAGCAAACCCTTTTGTTCAAAGGGTGTTTTTGGCAGTGCTTTTCTTTCCTTTTCTTCCATTAGTTGGTGTGTTCATTAGGAAAATATCAGAAACTTCTCAGGCAGCTTGTGCTTCTAATTCATTTTCCAAATGCACAGTGAGCCAAGAGTAAATTTTTTAAGGTGAATTTAATTGACCTTTACAATGGCATTAGGCAGATTGGCTTAAAGTCTGTTAGAGTATAATGTAACCTGGTGAGATTTTAGGGAAGGTTATTGGAAAAACCTCTTGATTCGGATTGCTTTTCCTCTTCCTTCCCCCTTAGCTTTTTTTGTGCAGAGAAAAGAAGCGTGGTTTATGACTGGGAAGGCACCATAGAATCACAGAATCATTCACAGAATCACAGAGTGGCCAGGGTTGGAAGGGACCTCAAGGATCATGAATCTTCAACTCCCCTGCCATATGCAGGGCCAAATCATTCAGGTTGGAAATGACCTCTCAGATCCCTAAGTCCAACCCTAATAAGCCACACCCACTGTGCCCACTGCCCACGTCCCTCAGGGCCACATCCCTGCAGCTCTGGAGCACCTCCAGGGATGATGACCTCACTACTCCCTGGGCAGCTGTGCCCTTCCTTTGGAGAAGAAATTGTTCCTACTAATATCCGACCTGATGAACAGATGGGGAAGAACTGAAAGAGATAAGGGAGGAAAAGAGCAGGATGGGCACATCCTATCTCCACCCACCTCCTGGCTGGAAGCTCCCCACATGGGGGTACGATGCATCTCTGCGTGCCATAAGGAAAGCTGGGGAGCCTTGGGCAGCCAGGCAGAGGGTGAGAAACACCAACCCCCCTGTTGTGCTCAGCACGTTGCTCAAGCAGAATGAGTCCCTCAGTGGTTGTCTCCGGGGAGGGGACACGCACACACCATGTGCCAACACATCTGCAGCTCTCTGATGTGTTAGCATGCAACCAAAGGCACAGCAGTGACATGACTAGTGAGTCATTTTGGTTTTGTGAACTGTCTTTCACATGCTATGTGCACGGCTACATCGTATGCCAAATGTCAAGCATTATTTATTGGGCTGTGTTATGGAGGCCTGAGTTTTCTTCTGTCCACTCATTAAGATGTTAATGATCTATATGCTGAAGTTTGCTTTTTAAACTCTAGTCCCTAGTGTCAATGTTTGGTAATTATGTTGCTGATTTCTGCTAGACCTCAGTCAGTTTAAATGTAAGTGAGCTATTGATGCTATTTCCAGGGGAGAAGTTAAATGGGACATCTAGAGAGAGTTGGTGAGCTAGCAAATCAGGAAGCTTGCACAAAGTATAGACTGACTTAAAATATTTTCACTCTAATTGTACTTGAAATGTTTTATTGATGCTGAATTATTTTTATGAACTTTTTTCACTGTGGATGCAATGTGTAGTGTATGCTCACAGACAGCAAGCTGTGAGTTATGATTGCTTTCTATGCCTGCTGTGTTGGCCTGAGCTGTGTATTTCTCCCTTTCAGTTAAACCTGTGAAACAAATAGTGAGGCAGGGACACACGTTCTTTCACAGCTCTTTCAAATCCTGCAAATAGGGAGTTTAAGATAAAGCATTTTATGCTTCTGTGGAAGTTGTGCCTCCTTAGATCTGAACAACTTGCAGTAGCAAGATGTATGTTTGTGGCTGTCGGCTCTGCTGGTAATGAAGTGGAGCAGCAATAATTTTTTTCACTTAGGCCTCCAGTACTTGGGCTTCAGGCTTTTGCTTTTTTTTTAACGTCTGATTTCTCATTTAGAACGTCCACAGTATGTAAGATATTTTTGTAGCTGTGTATATGTGCCATCATCTGGAGTGTGGACAGTAACCTCACCACCAGCCAGTCAGATGAGGTGTTTCGGTGGCTGGAAGTGAATTTTGCAACAGCTGCCTGGGATGCAGAAAGCAAAAGTAGAAACTTGTCTGGTTTTTGTTTCCTGTTCTCTGTTTCAGCTACTCATCTCAACCAAAGTTTTTGGCTGTATGTTGCTGTCATTCGTAGCAGCTGGAAAATTTTTCTTGTTTTCAGGCAAGATTTGCTGGCTTTTGATGGAACTTCTTCATGGTAATGTTTTGATTCACTGAGATAGTAAGCTGAAGAATACAAGATGTAAGGGGTCCATAACACCGCTTAGTTTTGCTCACTCAAAAGGAATTCAAATAGCATCTAAGCGATGTTTAACTTTTGCTAACTCAGAAGGAATTGCTTAGTTTAACTTTTGCTAACCCAAACACATTCCCAAAAGGAAGCCTTCTCAAGTCAGCAGAAAGGGGCCAACGGGAGAGCAATGGAAAGGGGGAGCAAACAGGATAACAAATTGCAGAGGCACGCATGGTGGGAGAAGAGCTCAAAACTGGGACAGAGGTCGGAAGGACGTGGCGAGGAAGATTACTGACTTCATCCAGGGATGACCACCAGGTGGGGAGGAAGACGTCGAGCCTTCATCCAACGACCACCAGAGGAAGCTACTGCACACGCACTAGGGGAGGGACAGTATGTAAATGAATTCCCAGAAAAGTAATGAATATGTCAGTAGGTCTTGGGAAATACTGCTGAATATGTATGGGCTTAGCTTATAAATGTATCGAGATCCCACTCTGGTGTGCAAGCTAGGAGGAGTGATCCACCTTGTACCCGGCGTGTGGCGCAGCACCGAAATAAAAACGTATCTGCTCTTGTAACTTTCTGTGGTTTAGAGAGTTTGATTCTGCAAATCACTACTGTTTATAAGTATAGTTATAAAGAGGATAGTATTGTAGGAGGCTTCATTTTTAGCACAACGTTTTCTTTATTAAAAAATTCTAATAAAAAAAGGTTTTTATTTCAGTGAAACTTTCCATGACTTTCCTGAGGAGTCTGAGTGAGCACATAATTCCTGCAACTTCCTGAAGGGAGGTCGTGATGAAGAGGGGTTTGGCCTCTTCTCCCAGGCAGCAAACAGGACCCTAGGAAATGGCCACAAGTTGTACCAGAGGAGGTTTAGGTTAGACATAAGGAAGAACTTTTTCTCTCTCAGAGTGGTCAGGCACTGGAATGGCTGCCCAGGGAGGTGGTGGAGTCGCCATCCCTGGCAGTGTTCAAGAGGTGTCTGGATGAGGAGCTGCGAGGTATGGTTTAGTGCTTGTGGTAGCAGTGGTAATGGGAGGGTGGTTGGATTAGATGATTTTGTAGCTCCTTTCCAACCTTGTTATTCTATGATTCTGTGATCACATACCTGACTGCAGAGATGAAAAGCCGCTGCAATTGTAGAGCTCCTTTAGTTCCCTGTACCTCTGCAGGGTCGTTGGATTACCACAAGTGCAAAATTGAGAGCCCACAATGCCATATTGGACAAACGTTTTTTGATGAAGCACAGCACCATAATAAAGTTAGAGACAGCAATTCCATATAGTTAAAGCATTGCAAGACTAATGTTTGGCAGATAGACTGTGTGTGTGTATGACTACCAGATAAGGCTGTGTTATGTGTCACATAAGCATTTAAATAACTTTGAGAGTTGCTTTTTGGCATGTTCACTGGAATTGAGCACTTTCAGTGCAAGCGTGTTTTAAGTGTTTACTTTTCTATGATTCCTTTTTTTCTTAGTATCCTGTTCTTGTTTACTTTTCTCCACTTCAGATAACGCTTATGATCCAGATGTGAGTGCTAAACAGATATGGATAGACAAAACAGTGATAAACAACAATATATGCTTGACGTTCACTGATAATGGAAACGGTATGAACTCAGAGAAGCTGCACAAAATGCTAAGGTGGATAACCTCTTTTGTGTATTTTTTTCTTGTCACAATTCCAGTTTCTATTTTTGTTACTGTTAAGCTTAACTCCTTTCTCTCACATGTAATCTACTATGCTCATTTTTCTATTTAGCGCTTTTGAGGGTGAGTGATTACCCAAGTGAGGCTCTAGGACAGAGATGCTAGTACAGCTTTCATACAGCTTTCGCTGTTTATCTCCTAGTTTCCTTTTATCCTTTCCATCAGCATTCCCATTTACTTTTCTGTGCAGGGCATGTGCAGTGTAAACTCTGTAGTGCCTTTCAGTGGAAGGAGAATATTTTCTGCATTTGAGCATGCTTTAGACTAAGTTAGCAAATGAGAGACAAGGGAAGTTCAGTTCAGTCCAATTCTTTGAAGTGTTGAAAATGTACTACGGAAATGTTAAGGGGAATTAAATTGATGCTGTTATAATTTTTACCTTCTAATATCCTATAGTATTTGAACTGTTCTTTCTGCAGTTAGCAAACCGATTGCTGTTCAAGTTCTCTTCTATTATGAAAGATAGTCGTCTGATTCCAGATAAGTCTCTGGATATAAATTTGAGGAACCTTGAATTCAAATGACTGTTTTTCTGCAATATACCATAATTAATAGCTTATTTGTCAAATTCCATGCTCCATATACAGTTACACATTTGTCTTCAAGTGTGATGTGTAGTTCACCTGTAGAATATATGTGGATCGTGTATATTTAAGCAAACGGGAGGAGTGACTAAAGAGGAAAATAACCTAAGGGACTTTTTCCAGTATTCATTGCAAAGCCAGTGGATAAATATTAGAAACATGTGGGAATGTACCTTTGTATGATTACAGGCAGATGGTGTCTTTTAGATAATTAAAAGATGAATCTAACTTTTTCCAAATTCTTGTGTCGTGATTTTAGGAATATTATACAGGTGTTCTCACAGTTTGTGTTGCTGTGCACTGTTTAATTGCATGGTAGTCCCTGATCTCTAGAACAAGAGATGGACTCAATGTGGTTAAGTCAAATGTGATGCACTTTGCATGCATCTTCTGGGTTTTCAGTTGTCTGGGGGGCTTTTTACACTCTTCTAATATCTGTTTTTTTCATATCAGCTTCGGCTTCAGTGAGAAATCTGTGATGAATGGCCGTGTTCCAGTGGGACTGTATGGAAACGGGTTTAAATCAGGGTCCATGCGCCTGGGGAAAGATGCAATAGTCTTCACCAAGAATGGAGAAACCATGAGTGTTGGTCTCTTATCTCAGACTTACCTTGAAGTCACAAAAGCAGAACATGTCATGGTTCCTATAGTGACATTCAACAACCAACATATCCTTTTGACAATTTCCTAACAAAAAGTTGTGTGTGTGTCTCAAATGTGGTTGGTAACATCATTAAAGGAAATCTCCTTGTCGTGTTTTAGAGATGCATTCTAAGATGGGCAGAAGATTATTTAAGCTATAACGTGTTTAAGAACTTTTACATTTTTTTGGAGCTCTGTATTTGAGATGTGGAATGAGAGCCTCTGAGTGGTGCAGGATCCTATTGCAGAAGTTTACTAATCTTCTGAATTATTATTATTATTTTTTAAGTAACATTTAAGGTTACTTTCCTTAACATTTTGCTTACGACAGATAAGTGATCCAGCAGAATCCAAAAACAGTTTGAAGGCCATCTTAACACATTCTTTATTTTCTACTGAGGAGAAATTAGTGGCTGAACTAGATGCTATAATGGGGAAAAAAGGAACAAGAATCATAATTTGGAATCTCAGAAGGTAAGATGAGGCCCAGTTGCTCATATCTTTCATTTGCATTATCTCTTCAGCGTCTGCAAGTACACAAGGATTTTTTTGCAGAGTAACTCTAGAAGACTGGATGGAAAGTTAGCTGCAGTTGGTGAAATTAGACTCAAATTATTTGGCCAAAGGAGAACATAAAGGATTCTGTATTTCATTTTGATAAAATCTTTTACTGTTCCGGAAGAAAAATTGAAATAAGAGTATTTATAAATCTGGTATCTCAAACCAATTGGGAAAGACTTGAATCTTTCTAAACTTCTTAACTGTTTATCATAGTAAAAACAGAAGTCCAAGTAAATAGATGCAGTTCATTACATTTATCTACATATATATATATATATATATATGTGGGATTACTCACAGAAGAATGGATTTTCAGACTTTGGTAGCTTGGAGTTGCTGTTTTCTTTCTTTAAACAGCTGCTGTAGCAGTGGCAGCTGGATGTTATCGTTTCTCATCTCCTTTCCCTTTCGTCCTCTTACGTGGTTGCTGCTCTCTAACTTAGAGGGAGCTCATATCATGATCCATTGGAATAATTTAGCTTGCTTTTAACAGTGATGGAGCTAGTTGTTTGGGAGTATGTTACCTCGTTTTATGCTCCTGAGTGCTTTGTTTACTGCAGTTTTGAAAACCTGAAATAGCAAGGTATCCGTAAGAAGCAATTTCAAGTGGTTTTATGGGCCAGTAAATTTGGCAGGAAAATAGTTTATTCTTGCCTGTCAGGAAAAAAAAAAAAAAAAAAGGATGGAGAGAAAACTCATTCTGGGATACAATGGATTAAATGTTACAGAACAAAACAAAACCTCAGTCAATCATAGCTGATGAAAGGCTTTCTTCTTTTCCTATTTCATTAATTTCTTCTATATTTTAGGAACTTGCATCACTTTTAGCTTAGTAGATTTTTATGCAAGAAAGCTGGAGGTAACAAAATCTATATCTAAATGTTGTGCAAAACTACTGCTAGTGCAATTAAATAAAAGAAACCCTCTGGTGAGCAGTAAGAAATTGTGATGAAAAATTACTGAGTTAGGGAGTTGTTGTTTGTCATTCTCACAGCAGTAGGAATCTTCGGCAATTGTTCTCAGTAACACTGAATGCTTTTATTAGTGAAGTGCAATTAGAATAAAGTTAGAATTTATGCAAGTTTTCTTTGCTAACATTTCTCTTATATTCCTTGGGTTTCTAAAAGAAGCTATTGAATGTTTTTGATTTCTAGCAAGTCTGCAAGGAAAGCCATTATGACGCAGAAGAATTGTGTTTCTTTTGTGTCTTTCCTCTTGTATCTCTGTGATATCCCCTGGGTCTGTTGTGCATTTTTAAAACCTGAAACACTCTGGGGGGAAAAAACAAGTGTTGGGAGGGCAGACATGTCTCTCTGCACATGGTACAAGATGGGTCATCTCCACAAATCATGCAACCCCAGGTTTCACATCTTCTTCTATTTATAGTTGAAAATTTTTAATATACACCTATCTAATAAGCCACACCAACCTAGTACGTATTCACAAGATGATAGTAGTACAAGGCTACGCAAACATAATTGAGTCTTCTGCACTTCTGTGGGAGCCTTCAGTGGTTGCCTGGGGAGGTGTCTCCCTGCTCACTTTGTCCATGTTTGGGCCCAGGTTTTCTGAGGACAGCTAGTTTTCATCTAGCTCTACTGACTGACTGCTGTTTTGGATTTGTGCTCCTATTTCAAGGACGTTGCTCTTATTATAGAAGTTGTGTGGTCAGAAAGGATATTTATCATCGATAAGCAGTCCATTTGGAAGGTAGAAGCGGAACTATAAACACATGAGCAACCACATTAATTAGGCAGAAGTGACAGGTATTTAGTTATGAGATATCAGGTTCACCTCAATCTTTTTTTTTCCTCTCATAATTAGATTTTTTTTCTTATTTCTTAGAGATAAAAATGATAAAACAGAATTTGACTTTGACAAAGATAAATATGACATCAGGATTCCAGAAGACTTAGATGAAACAGGGAAAAGAGGATATAAAAAACAAGAGAGACTGGACCAGATAGTTCCAGAAAGTGACTACTCGCTAAGAGTATGTATACTTTTTTCTTTTTTTTTCATTTATTTACTTGTTCTGTGGAAGCAAGGTGATATATGCTTTTGTTTTAATGCAATATGCCATACTGTAGAGGTGTTGATTGAAAAAAAGACAAAGTCAGAATTTAAACGTTAGGGCAATGAGCCAACAGTATTTGGAAAACATAGAATGTGTTTGTGGACTTCTATAAACATCTGCTTTTTTGTTTTTGTGTTGTTTTTCTTTCAGAAGAAAATTCCTGTTTTTTTACATAGTCCTGCAGATACAGTGTAGCTAGTTTTCAGCTGGCAGTGTCCTCTTTAGGTTCCAAAAGAGATCAAGGAACTATAAAGCAGCTGTTTCAAGACCTACATATAGTAAAGCCCTAGCCCTGAGTGCAGGCCTATTGCAGCCGTTACACTACTGAGCCATAGTCTCTGAATATGTTTCTTATAAGAAAGTGCACCTGGAATTACTGGGTGTTCTGAGTGCTTCTGAATAGTGTTGTAAGTATTGTTCCAGCTCAAATACAACATTCAATTAGTCTAAGGCTCACTGAAGTCATAAATCTGTAAGTCATTTGGAATAAAGTTAACAGCTGCTTTTTATTTTTTTTTTTAAGTCTGTGATATAATTTTTGAGTTCTAAATAGGGAATAAGAATATAGGCTTGTATATCTGAACATGTTTAAAAGCTCTTATAATAGTGAAACTGTATCTTCAGACACCTGCCTTGTTTACAAAAGTTCTCTTTCAGTTGCTTTTAATGTGATTTGTATTATGTATGTGCATCTGAGTTTCCTGTATTTTGTGGAGTCAGGTTGGAGGAGCTAAAAAATTTCTTCGTAACATCTCAATTAAAATCTGGATTTGTCTTTCCAAGCGTGATAAATGTTTTACAGTACCCATTTCTTGAGGTTATTTAGGTGTGTGGGTTTTTTTTTTTTAGGTGGTGGCAGCGAGGATCTCATTGCTGTTGTTTTGAATAATGGGAATTATTGTATATTTTGTAGGCTTACTGCAGTATTTTGTATCTGAAGCCAAGAATGCAGATCATTCTGCGAGGACAAAAAGTGAAAACACAGCTGGTTTCCAAGAGCCTTGCTTTCATTGAACGTGATATATATAGGCCAAAATTCTTGAATGTATCCTTTGTTAATGTGATGATTGCATGCTAAATTTAATGATGAGTTTTTGTACGTAAGCTGTGTAGATTCTGCTGGGAATGTTGCAGCTGTCTTTATGGCTGTTCTTTAATTATTTTGTAAATCTTTTCTATCTCAATACTATCTCAACTAAAAAAAAAAAAAACAAAAACTATCTCAATACTTAAATGATGGAGAGGGGAAAAAAATAAAAATGAAAATACCAGGACCCAGTTTAGAATGAGCCCTCGAAGTATACATGTATTTTATCACATGACATTAACCAGACTTTTCCTTAATATCCAATAAAAGGCTAAAACAGTAAGAATTACGTTTGGATTTAACTGTAGAAACAAAGATCACTATGGAATAATGATGTATCATAAAAACAGACTCATCAAAGCTTATGAAAGAGTTGGCTGTCAGTTAAAGGTAGGAATTTAAGCTGAAAACCAATGTTGTTAGAAATCATTTTCACTCAAATGCTTTTTGAAAAAGAAGAATACGGGTGAAAACTGGTGTGCTTTTGTAAATACGCCTTTTTCAATTTGGCATAGCAGTTTATAATTGCATTGTGTTGCACACAGTTCTTTAATTTTTGAAACTAAGCTTAATGTGTGAGACATAGAATTTGGTGTGCCTTTCAGAACAGAAAGACAGATGGATTGTAGGGCTGGTGGATTTGTGTCAAGAGTTCTATTGGAGGCTATTCATAAAGCAGGAGGTTATTTTGACCTGGTGGATGTATAAATTATAATTACTTCTGTCAAGATGTTAGAGTTTTAGTGTAGGATTTGTTTTGTTTTCCCTGATGGATCATAATTTTTTACAGGCAAACAACATGGGTGTTGGCGTAGTTGGGATTATCGAGTGCAACTTCCTAAAACCGACTCACAACAAACAAGATTTTGACTACACAAATGAATACAGGTAAATGTGTATTCTTACAGACTTCTTGTCTCATAGTGTTGTTCTCTGGGAGATACTTGACCGTAAAAGGTTTTGTCCCTTTTAAGTAGTAAGGATACTTGTGTTCCATCATTAAACTGCATGACTGTTTTAAACAGTAGGGGTAGGATGTGAGCGTATATGCTGATCATAGCGTTTTCATTGCCATCAGTGAAATCAAGGGTACAGTGCTCACCATTATTAAGCAAATGCCCTAAAAGCAGTTGGTTGCAACTCTGCCCTTCACTTATTGTGGGATGAACCCAGAATAACTAGCTTAGTTTTGGATATTTTGTAGCAGATGGCTAAAACTGTGAGATATGAATCCCACATGATTGATGATTCAGAGATTCATCACAATTTCCTAGGGGTTGTTTGTTTTTGTCTTTGTTTTTGGATGTTTTTCATTTATTGTTTGTAGTTTCTTTCTTAAAAGTAGACTTTAATGTCCTTAAGTCTACCTGACAGAGCACTTAGAAAATACAGGACACCCTGAAGGCAGCTGTGAATTGGAATGAAGCTGCAATGAAGCTACATCCCATCAATCAATATCCAGTGTGTTACTTGTTATAGCTGCACTGTAAACCTCACTGAGAATCTAATCTGATTTGGGAAAAAAAAAAAAAAACAAAATTGTTCTTAAGCCATATGAATTGTCTGGTCTGTTTACAATGTTCTTCTGTGAATTGACTGCACTGCCATTATGGAAGGAAAGGTTAGGGAGGATGAGTTACCTCAGCAGAAAAGATGTCTAGGGGAAATCTCCAAGATGCAAACATTGGGAATTACTCCACTGTGTTTTCTTTCCTTTCAAGATGATGAGGCTATTTTCTATCTTCGGTGCTGCTTGGTGCTAAGGAATGTTAGGAGCAGCTGCCTCCCCCAGCAGTTGTGTCCCGGATGCCCCCTGGCCCAGAGTTTCTGGGGCCCAGAGTCTCTGTTTTCCCTGCCACTTTTCCATTTGCAGGCTTAACTAGCAGTGAAGTTGAGCACGTGTCTCAGAGATGCAGACACACAGAACACTGATGTGGTTGGTGTGTTCCCTTCAGCAGCACCTGTGTGTGGGATGTGCATAAAGTATGGATGTAGACAGTCACGTACCCTTCTTTTTCCTCAACAGATAGAGATTGAAGGTCACTAGTGAAAGTACGCACTTTATATCTGTAAGCATATTGAGTACCATCACAGCCCCTCTGATCACTTGACACCCCTGGCCCAATTTTAGGGTCTTCTAATCCAATCCAAAGGTCCACTGTGTGCTGGCTGTTCCACCTTATTGCTCAGTACAAATCAAGGCAACATGCACACTTAAAGAAGCATAGAATCATTAAGGCTGGCAAAGACCTCAAAGATCCCCCAGTCCAACGACCAGCCCACCCCCACCATGCCCATGTCCTTCAGTGCCACATCCACACGGCTCCGAACACCTCCAGGGACGGTGACTGCACCACCTCCCTGGGCAGCCTGTGCTACTGTCTCATCACTCTTACTGAGAAGAAATTTATCTTAATACCCAACCTGAACCTCCCTCTAGCACAGCTCTTTAATTCCCTCTCATCCTATTGCTAGCTGCCTAGAAAAGTCTGACCCCCACCTCGCCACAGCCTCCTTTCAGGTGAGAGCAGTGAGGTCTCCTCTGAGCCTCTTCTCCAGACTGAACAATCCCAGCTCCCTCAGCTGCTCCTTATAAGACTTGTGCTTCAGACCCCTCACAGCTTGTTGCCCTTCTCTGGGTGCTCTCCTGGGCCTCACCTGGAGCAGGGGGCTCAAGATTTAACACAGCACTTGAGGTGTGGCCTCACCAGTACTGAGTACAGAGAGAGGAATGCCTCTTTAGTCTTGCTCTGAGGACTATTTCTTCTGAGTTTGCTATTTCTGATATAAAATACTGTCCCCACAAGGCACACTTGCAGGTGCTTCTGGACAAATGAGCACAGACAGACCTAGTCTGTCTCTAGTAGCTGGCACCTGTTTCCACTCATACGCACACGTCTTACCAGTAGCTGGCACTTAGTCTTTGCAATGCTTATACATGTGATAGAGTGAGATTATGGAGAGAGTTAAAATTCAATAAGCAGATAAGGTAGGCTGCAGGGATCAAGCACAGTGATTGGTTGGTCAAGTATACTGCCCTGCCATGTTTTATATGCAACTTGCACTTTTTTATACTCTTTTCTGTCTAACACTCCCCTGGCACTGTTTCTGTCTGATCCTTCTTGCCCTGCATGTTAGCATGGTTCCACTGACCTCTCTCCAACATCTTGGGCCTTCAGAATTGCATCTTTATCAGTTTCTTGATAACACCCAGTTTTGTTTCTGATCATTGTCTTTGTTAATACTAGTTAATCAGGTTTTATGACTCTGTGTTTGTCTCCTTCCTTTTCCTTATCCTCCCAACTGAAAAAATAAACATTCTCACACTCTGCGTATCCTTACCATTTAGCGTGACTGACCAGGACTGTTCTTGGCACTGTCTCCCTTATCATGTGTCAGTCAGGTTTGTCTCTGTACTTACCTATGGCCACTCTCCTTTGATTGGATGTGCTTAAAAGAGCACATCTCCTCCTCTATATCCTCAGACTTAGTTTCACTGTGGACTTAAAAATTTTGAGATGTAGACTCACAAACATAAGTGGTAGTAGACTTTGGCAGGAGACGTCATAACCTTTGTCAGGCTGTGTATTTTGCCCTTCAGTCAGTTATTGGTGTTCCCCTGAGAAGGACAGCTGAAAAATTCACAAAGCCTTTCCTTAATTGCCTGATTGTATGCAGCTCTGCATATACAAGTAACCCAGAAACAGTATCAGAGTACTGTAATAAACTAAACTGTTTATTGTAGTAGTTGAGGAGTTGTGGCAGGAAAACTCCAGTCATTCCTGCCATTGAAACCACAGCTTTCAGTGGAGGAGGAGCATGATTGGTAGCTGGCAATGTAACTGCTGCAGCCACTACAGTTCATTCTGCCTGTATTTTTAAATAGCTTGCTGTATTCTTCTTTGCAGTGGTGATGCCAGCTTCAAGCAGTTCCTGTGGCTGCAACTATTGAACTAGCAAAGCTGTTAATGAGAACACAAGTTAAAATAGACCAGGGAATCATTCTCGTGTTTGTTGTTTCAGTACAAATGTTCCTTGAACCATTTCTTCTGTGGTAGCACTAAAAGTTCCTTTGGCAATGGATGTGCCATAGCATAGGCACTGCTATTAATCAGGTTTTACACTGATTCTACACTGGGTTTCTGCAAGTTGGCACAGTGAGCACTGATTGTGGGTTTTTTTTGTTGTTGTTTGGCACTTGTAGTATGTATTGTGAAGGTTTTTTGATTGTTTCTTTGCTTTACAAAAGATTGCTTCTACAGATTTTTAAAATGTAGATTTCCATCCCGAAACGGAAACATAGCACTGGTGCTGTAATGTTGTGATCAGCATGAGCTGACTTGCCTCTCTCCCTTCACCAGAAGAGATGTGATTCAATCCATGTGTTGCTGTTCATTTCTGCCCCTTTGCTAATTCCTTCTTCAGGCACCAAAATTTGTGACTTGAATTCAGAGGTGTTCCAGATGGAAACTTTCCGGGATGGACTAGGTTCCTTATTCTTCTTCCACATCACTCTTTCCTGTGTGCCAGCTCTAATACCGTTGCAAAATGGTTGGGTTCCTGATCAGAAAACTAATCCAGCTAAAAATTAATATGGGGAAAAAAAACCACCCTGCTTCTTTCAGCACCATGTAGACTGTGTACTACACTGAAGTGAACGTGTATTTGCAGTGTCAGTTAAGTATTGCTTTATGCCAGCCTAGAATGATTGTGAGCCTGCAGTTAACAGATAAACATAGCCCAGTGCTGGACTGACAGAGGAGAGGCAGTTTTGTACTTTTTTTATGATTGAAATTAAGTTAATGGACTGGTTTCAGGTTTTGCGTTGTACTTCGCTGTGCTTCTGAATCAAGCATTTTATTTCAGTTTAAAAACTGTCTGCATCCCAAGCCAAATTTCTTGTAATTTCATATCCTACAATCATTTGTTCCCACAATTGCAAACTTCTGGGGTTTACAAAAAGTGAGAAGCTTACTATTGTGAAAATGTAAGTATTAGGGTGTTTCATATACTTACTATTTCACTGTTCTTTATAAACACTCTTTCTGTGCTAAGACTTTACTATTTCAGGTATTGTCTGAAATTTTGTTTTCAGGCTTACAATAGCAGCGCTAGGAGAAAAGCTTAACGACTACTGGAATGAAATGAAAGCAAAGAAAAATGAGGAGTATCCATTAGCTTTACCAGTTGAGGAGATACAGTGAGTATCACTTTCAAATAGAAGAACATTGCATACTGTTATTACAGCTTTATTCTTGATCGCGCAAATAAATTGTTCATGTGAAAGTTCTGATATGTTTTTTCCATTACAGAAAGCAGCCTGATCAGACATGGGTGCAGTGTGATGCGTGTCTGAAATGGCGGAAGCTACCAGATGGAATAGAACATTTGCCAGAGAAGTGGTACTGCTCACTGAACCCTGACCCACAGTTCCGGTAAAATTATATTGAGCCCAATATCTAAGCACTGCTTTTACTTTTTAGCTTATTGCTTAATGTAAGCACATATGTTAAGCTCTTTATTTTTCCTTAACTCAGGGATTGTCATGTGCCAGAAGAACCAGAAGATGATGACTTAATACATCCCACGTATGAGAAAACTTATAAGAAAAAGTGAGTACTGGAGACTTTCAAGCTCCTAGAAAAGGAGCATAAAAGCTAAACACACTTTTCTCTCACCTGTGGTATAACTGCAGCCCTTCTAAGAATTCATCCTTTCAGAAAATAGTACCCTAAGGTCAAAACCTAATCACAGCAGTGAATAGATAAATAGTGTTTTTCTTTTCGCTGTTATTGGCATGTTGACATGATATTGAAGGTAAAGAGGCCTCTATCATTTAGTAACAAGGAGAATAAAGCAAAAAGTTGGTGTTCAGGTACAGTATATTAAACAAGTCATTATGGTTGTTAAGAGCCCTTGCCTGGGTGACTACTATTTTCAAGCAGCTGAAAAACTCAGTAATATTTGTTTAAAGAATTTGAGGGTTCTTAGCTAAGATGCGTGGGGGAAAAAAATGACTTGAGCAATCTTAATGAATTGTTGGTTTACATTCTGAAAAGGGCCTTCACTGTTTTTCAAACATTTTTTTTTTATTTTAATCTGAGAGGGATGTTTGAAGTTTAAATTCAGCTTAGATTTAGCTCAACTAGTAGCTTCTAAGGTCATGCAGAAAATTTTCATTCAGTGAAGTAGAATGTTGAAATTCACTGTGTATAGCTCAAAATAAGGTGTTTAGTTTCAGATTTAAGTGAGGTTGCTTTGGTTTCACCATTAATTAACATTTTGAATCTAAGCTCTTTTTTTTTTTTTCTTCCCCCTTGCTCCTGTGCAGAGACAGGGAAAAATTGAAGAAGCGCCTAGAGTACCAGGTAACTCTCCTTGAGCTTGATGGCAAACCAACTTTGGTAGCCATTATTCTTTCTGGCACCACTTCTATGCAGTTTGATCCAGTGGGCTAGGCTTTGAGTTAGTTTGCTTTAAATAGTGGCCAGCTGATTAGGTCAGCAACCTTTTTGATAGCTGTATAGGCTGTGCTTACTCTTGGTAAACCAGAAATCCCCTGTCTCTTCTGTCCAATGATAGAAGTCAGTGGTGCATTTTATATGTTGTACTGAAGAAAGAGTTTGAAGGGGATGAAGCTGCTTCACAAAACAGTACTAGAAAATAACGTCAGTTGCTGCTACTTGTTTTTATAGCACAGTATCTAATTGTTGGAAGTGGATTTTCTTGTAGAGGGATATGTGATAAGGATATAAAAGTAAAGATGACCTTAAAAAAGGGAGTGGGGGAGGGGTAGAATTTGTAATAGCTGTGTTTTTGAGAGTTTGTTTTGCTAGGAGACGCTCAAATTCAAATGGAGATGCAAATAAAAAATGGCTTAGTGACAGGAGTATACAGATTGGAACTCAGAAGAAGTGAGACGTAGCTTTCAAAGTAACTGTGAACTTCAGACCAATCAATTTTTGGATAAAAGATTTTCCACATGCTGTTCTAACCTATCTACTTGATTGCATTCATTTTCCTGCAATTAGCTTAATCCAAGTAAAAAAGTTATTTCTAAAAGCCCAAAATGAACAAAATACTTAAATATTTTATGAATGGAACTTATTATTAGCAGCTGTAAGAGAGATTTCTGTCCCATATTTTGTGTATGATGGTCAGACTTCAGACATGGGTACAGAACAGGCTGGAAAAAAGTACTCCCTAGGATTCTACACGGTACCTATAATAGGTATTTCTTGGGAAACGCTTTAAGATCAGACAATAAATCTCTGCATGGGAAGGAGTTTGCAGCTGTAGTCTTCTGAGAAATCCACCAGAAGTCTGTAATCCAGACTTAAAAAGCAAATTAAACAAAAGAAAACAAAAGAAAACAAAAAAAACAAACTAAGAACCAAGAAACCTTGCTACTCTCAACTGTGCTATGATTATTATTTTTTTTAATACACGACTTGAAACCAGCATGGGAAAGACATGAAGGAAACAGTTAACATCAGTAGAGTTTAGTTGTGTTTTCTCTTCTGTCTTGTTTGTTTTCTGTGAATGTGATCATTAAGCTGATAACTTTTTGTTTGTTTGTTTTTAACAAGGGTTATAGTCCGCTTTCCTTACTGCAAAATATTGAGTTGGGGCTCAAGGAGATTGCTCTGTGGAGAATCCTTGCAGAATACAGAAGAAATGTCTATCATAATTTCAAGTGTTTTCAGATAGTTAGTTGGACTACTTGAAACTTATTCTGAAGACTCTACTAACGTCTATTGCTTTTCGTTCTTAACGTTATCTTATAGATCAGTAACGAAATGCTTTTAAAAACACCCGTTTCCTCAAGTAAAGACTTTAGAACGTTCACACCTGTGAGTGGAAGGGAAGCTGTTCCAAGAGCACTTTTACCAGAAACATCAAATGCTTCTGTCAAAAGACCTCTGCTTGTTTCAAATAGATCAGTATCTTCACCTCATTCTGATTCTGATAACAGGTTAGTGAACCTGTACAAAATAGATTTATTTCTAAAATTAGTAATTTTTAAATAAAGGAATGTTGTCAGGTGTAATCCCATCTTTGGGTCACAGCTACCAAAGTTCATGTGTCACTTTTCGGTAATACAGGAAGAACTATGTTAAATGATGCCTAGAAACCTCATGAAGAACAAAAGAGAGAGCAACAAAAAGAAAATACTGTATGTCAAGGAAAATTGCTTAGTGACTTGCCTTAATGTAGGAAAATACTGTAATGTGTTAACCTCATTCGACAGGATGTTTTCCTTAACCTCTCTTACAGGTCTTCCCCACTTCAAAAATGTTGTGTCTGTCTCAAAATAGTATATGAAAGTAATAATCTAGTGTGTGGATTTCAGCCATTGTTTTTACAGAAAAGGTATTTACTGTGACTAATAATCTTAAGATGCTCTTCAGGGAGACATCCCTTTCTAGTTATTGAGTAGCAGTTTTGAATTGCATGTTTAGACACATTTAAACATTGTTTGAAACAAATGACTTTGCTTTGAGCAATACAGTAATCAGATTAATGCGTTCTTCTTCAGTCTGAAACGGAAGATACTCATCAGTGTGACACCTTTAACTATAAAGACACCTCGTTTAAATAACAGGCCATTCAAAAGCCGTGATGATGATGATGATGTCATTATTTTAGAGGAGAGCAGCACTCCAAAGCCTTCAGCAGATTCTGATGTTCCAGTGGTAAAAACTGAATGTATAAATGTTGACAAGGAGGAGCAGAAAAAAAACAGTGACGTAAGAGAACCCTGCAGTGCAAGTACTTCAGAATCAAGAAGTGAACAGCTGACCTCTGCAACGCAGACGGAGGTCCCAAATTTGGTTGTTAAAAAGGAAGAGGTGGAAGATGACATCGATATTCCAGTTCCCAACGCGGAAACGGAAACTAACCGGCACAATGTAAATAATCTTCCTGAGACATCTGCAGATCTTGGAAACGAACTGAGAAATCAGCTGCAATTAGCAAACAAAGAGAAGGAGATGTACCAAAGCAAATGTGAAGCATTAACTAAGCAAGTAGAAACACTGGAACAGAGGATACTAGAAATGAACAATAAGTATGTGAAAAAAGAAATGTGCCATCAGTCAACTGAGACAGTTTCTTCATTTGCAGAAGAAAACGTTCATGAAAGAAGTTTGGCGGAAAAAACCCTTCTCTATGAACAGGCCTTAGAAGAAATAGCAAAACTAAAAGAGCAATGCAGTACTCTGCAGAACTTAAAAACTGAATGCAGCAGGTGTGCTGACGGTGAAAGTAAGAGTGAGGTAGACGAAATTGCTGTGCAGCTGGATGATGTTTTCAGGCAACTGGACAAATGCACCATTGAGAGAGACGAATACAAAAGTCAGGTATGTTAGTTAAAACAGAGGCGTATTTCAAACAAAGAATTTAACTTTCCATTTTCTTAGATGAATTCCAGTTCACAATGTATTGTATGGTTAAATTCAGTCCATTCATTAATCAAACCACTTAGGAGGGTGGGGAATACATATAATCTAGCCTAGAAACTTTTGTTTTATTGGATTCCATTGACAGCAGTAAGCAAAATTCAGAGAGTCTGACTGCAGGCTGAGAGTGCAGTGTGTTCAACTGGCTACTTTGAAACAGTCTGTAGGTTGCAGTATCATAAAATGTCACCAGATACTAAAATGTCACCAAAAAGCTGATTAAAAGCAGTCCACGACTGTTTATTTTAAACAAACACAACACATTGATGTATAAAATTATTTATTTATTTGCAGGTGGAACTACTGGAAGCGGAGAAAAATAAAATTGCCTGTCAATGCGAAGAACTTAAATCAGAAATTGCAGAGTTGAAAGCTTCAATCCCACAAGCAGTAGCGCGTGCAAATGATTCTACAGCCAGTAATGTAGAAGACACTGTTAATTTTTCTGATGGAGAAAGGTATCAATTTTCTTCTTCCTAGACTACTTCAAGTAAGATTTTGGTTGGCTGATTGTACCTAAAAAACCTTGACAAAAATCATGTCTGACAATCACATAATAAAAAGTGGTTCTTGGAATTATTTTTGCTGCCTCTTGTGACTTCTAAGTTGATAACACTTATACTTCACCTTTTCATCCACTGATTTTATTTTAGTTTTGACTTATTGCTGCTTAAACAAGTACTTGACCACTGCTCAATAGAATGTCATACTGACACTTTAAATGCTGAAAATGTTAGAAGAGTTTCTAGATTCTAGCTTGTAAAACAAGCAGAAGAAGAAAGGAGAGGCAGGAAAGAGGGAGGGGTGATCATTAGCTTATGCTGTGCAGATGATCTTTGCTTTTACATGCTATTTTTATTTCTTGACTCAGTAGTACCATACTGCAAAGAGTTTGTTTTCAGTTTTGGAACTGATTTGACCTTTCATGTAAGAACTTGCTGCAGACCAATCCTCTGGAACTGTGCCAGTGTCCAGGGTGTATCTTTGAACTAAACAGAAGTTTACGCCTCTAAGGAGGGATCTTGCTGCTCTCTGTTAATAAAAAATAGTAAACACATAAAAGAAGTACACGTACAAGATGGAAGCAAGCAAGCACAGCACACACAAGTCCATAGAATCAGATGAAATGTGTCAGAGAGAGCTGGCCAGATGATGAAGAGTTGGCTTTGTGATGATATCCAAAAGTTTGTGGCAGGTCCCTGATAACTGGTTTAAATAAAAAATAATAATTAAAAAAAAGTTGTCCTGCCCATATTTAGGGCAGGCAAAAATGAGGATCTGAATTACAGACTGGCCAGTACAAGCTCAGTTCCTGGGAAGACCCTGAAGCAAATCTGCCTGGAAGCTGCATGCAAGCTCATGATAGTCAAGGTGATTAGAAACGATCAGCGTAGATTTATTGAGGGCAAAGATTGCCTTTCCAACTTGGTAACCTTTCCATTGAGATGACCAGCTCTGTGGATAATGGGAGATTGGGCCTTCATTTTAGGAAAGCTTTCAAAATAGACTGCCATAATATCATAATCAAATTTTATGAGATATGATTTAGATTAGTGGAGTAGCTGGTGGGTTGTAAAACTGCTTAGCAGACTGCCAATCTGCTAAGCCTGGGTATCAATATGAAGGCCAATAATTGTTAATGCCTTCATTAATGGCCTACGTGACAGAGTGCAGTTAAGTTGGTGAACTCACAGTGGAGCTGATTTGGAGGGAATCACTGATACCCTGGATGGTAGCAGTAATATAGTGGGACCTTGAGAAGTAGGAAAAAATGACCGAGAGAAATGTTGTGGAAGCTCAGTAGAGGCAGCAGTGATGTTCTACACTTTTGCTAGGAATCATCTCTGCAGCTGGACAAGCGGAAGTCCTGGGCTGTGGTGGGGGTGGATTAGAAGATGAATGCAAATCAACAGTGCCTCTTGTGGCAGGAGTGCCCAGTGTTCTGCCAGCAGTTGTATGGCAGAGGTTCTTTCCCTGTGCTGGGCAAATGCAGAGTACTGTGTCTGCTTTGGGGTTCCCCACTATATGAAAGACGTTAGCATACATGAGCAAATCCACTGAAGGCTGCCCGGATGGTTAGGGGGTTGGGGCATCTTGTAAGATGCTGAGGGAAGGAGCCGCAACAAGAGAAGGCTGCCTTGAGATCTGATATCCTAATGCTTTCTGCAGCTGAATGAAGGTGTAAAAAAGGTGAAGCCTGACTCCTCACTAGCACAGTGGTGGCATGAGAGGCAATAGAAACAAGCTGCAAGAAGGGAAATTCTGATGAGACAGAGGAAAAAAATAATGTTCATAGTGAGGGCCCAGGAAAAAGGGTCCGGGGAAGGTGGTGGGATCTCCATCTGTGGAGATTTTGAAAACACAAGAAGGTTGTAAGCAACCTTATCTGAAATAACCATTTTTTGAATGTGTTAGGGGTTGGGGGGAAGGGAATGGATGACCTCTGGAGACCCCTTTCAAGCTAAATTTGTTTGGGTTTTGTTTGTTTTTGTTCTGGGATTCAGCCTCCCCTGCATCTGCTAGCAATTTACTTTCTGTTTACTGCATCTGACTACTTCTACATAGAAGAATTAGAAATTGCATGCATTACTTGTGGTGTACTTACAGGTCCTTTGGGATGTAATGACTCTATGAAGAATGGCTACTGGAGATAATAAAGAAAATAATGGTAAAGGAAATGCTCAAGAGAAGGGATGAATGACTTAGAAGCAGTTTGACCAGGAAGAGGATAGGGCAGTGGAATCGTGAAAGAAAGCAAAAAGAGGAGAAATAGTATTTTCACATTATTAAAATTGCTACTTTGTCTTTATGTTTTCAAACCTTTGGACAAACTACTTTTTCATACCTTCTCTTTTTTTCTTTCCTCTTTGTTTTCTCTTCCTTTGCTCCCATATATGGTGGTAGTTGGCAATTCTAGATGTACTAAATATTTTTAAATACTGGTTTGAGAAATAATAAAATATTGTAGGATAAAGGGTTATGCCAATGTTTATTTGCTAACTTCAGTAGGAGTATTCAAAAATACCTTTAATCCATTCTGGGAAAGGCAGAAATCTTAGTATTTGTTTGAAATGAAGGAAATACACACCTTCAAAGTTAAAACTCAAGACAGTAAGCTTTGAAAAAATGATAGATCTTGAAATTATCTTGTTGCAGTTTCAATTGCATAAGCTCTCTGTTGGTTTATGGAAGTCGCATACCGACCCTTTCTATTATTGAATGTTATTTGAAACTTTGTTAATTAACATTCTGTGTATTTGGATGTGAAGCTTCATCCACATCTAAACATCTCCAATTATTTCTTCACAGCCTGAAACTGCGCTCCCTTCGAGTGAATGTTGGACAGCTTTTGGCTACAATCATGCCTGATCTAGACTTGCAACAAGTCAATTACGACATTGACGTAGTGGACGAAATTTTAGGACAAGTTGTAGAACAAATGCATGAAATCAGCAGCACTTAAGATACTAAAATTTTCACAGAGCCCTACTTGATCTTCCAGTATAACCTTTATATAAGTTCTGAAGTGTAAATACTTCTTCGCTTTATATATTTCACAGTTTGATCAATAAATGTATATACTCTGTACGTTCAGGTGTTACCACAGATGCAGTGGGTAGTATCTTAACGTCCTCTTAAATGAACACTGTCAATATCGACCAACCTCGATGTACTTAAAGATTTTGCTTTTAAAATGTATTTGTAATTAAATTTGCAAATATTTTTATGATTAAGAATGTTAATACTTTTCTACAAAAGTTTTGGTTGATTTTTGGTCTTATATATGCATTGATACTTGCAATTTTTTTCCTCATCCAAAATCCTAGCAGTGGAATATATTAAAAATGCAAAAAAGGAACCTTGTTGATTTTCTTCCCAGAACAAACCTCAGTAACTTTATTGTAAACTACAGTATTTTCATTGCTATCAACAATGTTGTGTGTTGCATTAATAGTTTAGAAATTTAACTAATAGATGAAAATTTTGGCCATATTGGCAGTATTTATTGTCTTACTACCAAAAGAAGAAAAATTCCTTAGGGGTTTTATCCTGAATATGGATGATCTTTGACAGCCTTTTGGATTTTCTGGTGTTGCTAGAAGACATTTTCTGTACATAATCTTGCAGCATAAACAAATCCATGGGATATTTCAGCCTTACCAGTCTTGGAGACCACATGCCTGTTTGTGTCCTGCCCGTATTACTTGATTGTTACTTCCTCGTTCCAAGAACCAGATTGTATTGGAGTGCAGTCAGATTGATGATTGGTTCTACCCCATGGTTCCCAGTTGAACACGAACACAGCAGTACTAGTTTATAAGTCCAGTATGTTCCAGTACGTGAGTTCAAGTGGTCAGTTTTCACATGCAGCTCTTGCCTGCCTATTTTCCAAGTCAAAAGCAATTGGTGATCTGTTGGAGAGAACATACACAAAACTAGCATAGGATTCCTGGAGGACCTCTGCTGTAATACCACCTCTTGAGACTTTAAAGCCTTACTTTAGAGCTGCCCAATGCAGAAAATAATTGACATAGAGGTCTGTAATGTATACAAATATTTGCATATTTTATCTCAGAAGAAAAAGTGTTGTAGCATTAAGCGAGCATTAAGCGAGCATTAAGCCTCTCAGTATGAGGCTTACCTTTCAATCACAATGGGCCATGCTGCACATAAATGTCAGGCTACTCAATCCTTGTTTAACTAGTCAAAGTAGAAATATTTTGAGAAACAAGAGGCATGTTTTCTTATCTGTGGTGTCAAATGACATAGTAAGCTAAAGCTGAAGATGTTCAAATGTGATTTGTTTATGCTATCTTAATGTTTAGGCATCTTTTATTACAGGTAAGATAGGTGACTCCTTCTCTTTTTTCCCTCTTATATAGTCACAGTAATTATTAAGCCACTAGTTTTATTATTACAGTGGTGACAGTATTCTTCTCTTCAGCCAACTGCATGCTTTTTCCATTGAGGTCATCAGGAATAAGGGGTGGGCAAAGAGCCCATCTACCTGTTATCTCTGGTGGCATTCATCATCCAAACAGCGATCAAAAAAACCAATTTTTGCTTTTAAAAAAATAAAATCACGAAACTGCATTCAGTGTTTGTTCCTAGGAATTGTCGATTTTGTAAAGCCAAGAATTTTGGCTTTTGCACTGTTAGCTGTCCATATTTAATTGGATTATGTTCCGTTTAGTTGTAGCTCAGTTTCTTCCAGTGGGCAGTACTTTGATTTCAGGATGCTTTCTGTTCCAGTATGCCAATAAGGATAATGCAATACTGCTTTGCTTCATGATGGCTAAATTGAATGTTTGATTTTTGGAGAGGTGGCTGTAATGTAAATTTTAAAAAGTTTTTCTTTTTTTTTTTTTTTTTTTTTTTTTGCTGTGTAGTTTTCCGTTCCTTCATCATTATTTATTATGTTTCATCAGATTCTGTAGTTGAGTTTATTGTAGATGACATAAAATATAGCGTAAGTCTATATTAAAAATGGAAAAATTACAGTGTACGTTTACACTTTGAAGAACAGTGGACTAATGGAAATGCTTTTTATTTGTCAAAATGTATTTTTTGTAAAAAATGAAAATGAAAAAATAAATCTGAATTTGCTGGATCAAAACTTGTCATCAGGTGCTATGTTTCCCTTATAAGCAAGTAAGTCTGTTACCGGCTTTCCTTATGTATGATGCATGTGGCCTTGTTTAGCTTGTAAAAGAGAAGGCTCTGGGGAGACCTCCTTGTGGCCTTCCAGTGCTTGAAGGGAGCAGGTAAGGACGGGGAACAACCGCTTATGAGGGTTGATAGTGATGGGACAAGGGGGAGTGGCTTTAAACTGAGACAGGGGACGTTTAGGTTAGATATTAGGAGGAAGTTTTTCACACAGAGGGTGGTGAGGCACTGGAACAGGTTGCCCAAGGAGGCTGTGGATGCCCCATTCCTGGAGGCATACAAGGCCACGCTAGATGTGGCTCTGGGCAGCCTGGTCTGGTGGTTGGTGACCCTGCACACAGGAGGGGGTTGAAACTGGATGATCACTGTGGTCCTTTTCAACCGAGGCCATTCTGTGATTCTATGATTCAAGCCGAGGGGAAAGCCGCCTCGTTGTGGGTTTGAGAAGCTGTGGAAACCTCCCGCGCTTCCCTGCAGCCGGCCACGCCGCTGCCCAGCCGCGCCGTACTGCCGTGCCCCACGCCGCTCGCTTTCCATTCCCCGCCCCGTGCCCTCAGCAGTGCCACCAGGGGGCGCTGTCGCCCCGCTCGAGCCCGCCCAGAGCCCACACGCATGCGCGGGGCGGGAAACGCGCTCCCGCGCTGGAGCTGGTCCGGGCCGGGTCGCAGGTAGAGGCTGGGGGCGCGGGCGGCTGTTACAGTGGTTGGGACTGAGGGGAGAGGCGCGCGGTGCGGCTGGGCCAGGGGTCCAGATGCTTTCTGTGGGCGTGCGGTGAGGAGCGGCGGGGTCGGGCGGCTTATGTTCTTCCACGCGGTTAAACTGCCAGTTCCCACCGCCGGCGGGCGGGAGCGGCCTCTGTTGGCGGTGCGGGGTCGGGTCGGCCTCCTCCAGGAGGGAAGAGCTGCAGTTCCTGCCCGAAGTGTGCTGCGTGCTGCAACGGTCGGACAGCAACCTCTGCCGCTGTAATCGCGGCGACCTACAGTGATCTTCCTGAAACTACCGTCCTGTCAGTTCCTGTAGTGCTTGTGAGGTCCACGTTAACTTGGATCGTGGTTATAGGGAGCAGGAATTTAGCCAGGATTTTGCTCTGTTTTCCTTAGCAGACATGAAGGTCATCACTTGCGAGATAGCGTGGCACAACAAGGAGCCTGTGTACAGCTTGGACTTCCAGCACGGAACTGATGGGAAGATCAACCGACTGGCCTCCGCAGGTGTGGACACGGCTGTCCGGGTATGTCTCACACCTCTTCTGTTCTGCTTCCTGGCATAAATAGCATAAAGCATGACACGTACTCTTATCTGAGGTGTTATCTGAGGTATTTTAGGAGCTGATGTGGGCATCGAGGCCATGGGCAATGTCCCAAAAAGGACAATGGATTATGGAGGGTTTGGGCATGAGTCTGATGGGGAGCAGCTGAGGGAGCTGGGGTTGTTCAGTCTGGAGAAGAGGAGGCTCAGGAGAGACCTCATCGCTCTCTACAACCACCTGAGAGGAGGTTGTGGTGAGATGGGGTTGGCCTCTTCTCCCAGGTAGAAGTGACAGGATGAGAGCTAATGGCCTGAAGTTGCACCAGGGGAGGTTCAGATTGGATGTCAGGAGCAATTTTTTCTCAGCAAGAGCAGTGAGGCAGTGGCACAGGCTGCACAGAGAAGTGGTGAAGTCACCATCCCTGGAGGTGTTCAACAGCCATGTGGATGTGGCACTGAGGGACGTGGTTGTTATGCTGACAGTTGGACTAGGTGATCTTAGAGGTCTTTTTCAACCTTAATGGTTCTATGAGTGGAATAGATGTTGAGGGCAAAAGCATGAGGTTGTTCACTTGTAGACAGAATGGCTGTATCTATGCTTACTGCTCTTGGCTAATGCCGAGTGTCAAACTGAATCTTTTAGAAGATGATCTGTGTTTATTGAGAAGTTGGGCTAGGTGATCTTCTGTCAACGGTTTATGGGCTGGTCCGGCCCAGTTCCGTGACCAGCAGGGTGGAGGGATCTGCGGATCCGCGCCTCTGGGAAAGGGGAAGCAGGGGACCCCAAAATACTTGAAAACAACAGCACTGATCTGAGGTGGAACAAATGATTTTACTAAATATAGTATTAGTAAAATACAATGAGAGAGAGAGAGAGAGAGTCTGTTTGAATTGTATAGACCTCACCACAATGCTGGGGTGAGAAGTGCAGTCCAGTTGAGTGACTGAAGTACAGACGGCGAAGTGCAGATGGCGAAGCGCAGGCGGCGAAGCGCAGATAGCGAAGCGCAGACAGCGAAGAGCAGGCGAAGAAGAAGGATCAGGTGACCTTGCTTGGAGTTATATCCCCTTGCTGACCGCAAAGTCTCCTGGGGAAATGTAGTTCTTCTCCGATGGACGAACATTCGGCAGATATCAAACCCCACCCCCAATGCATTACATGATGTTATGGTGTGGAATACTGATGACCAAAAAAATCACAAAACCATGACATTCCACCCCTTATTCTACATCACTACATCATGCTTAACACATGGGATTACAGACTGCACTCCCCCAACATCAAATTCCCTTGTGGTACACACTGAACATCCCCGTTTTTCTGCATCACCCACCAGGTGGACCCATGTCCCTGGGCAAAGACAGTTCCGCGAAGAGGTTTGCCCTTCCCAGAAGCAGGAAAAACCCAAACTGCTTTTCCTAACATGTTCTTTACATGTACTACAGGGACCTTATCTCCCTCTACAATATGTAGGGAGCTGGATTGGGTAGGACCATCTCGACTGATTGATCCTCTGGTGTTAACCAGCCAGGTGGCTTCTGCCAAATGCTTCTCCCAGTGTTTAAATGTTCCGCCACCCATTGCTTTCAACATCGTTTTTAACAACCTGTTGTAGCATTCGATCTTACCAGAGGCTGGTGCATGATAAGGGATATGATAAATCCACTCGATGCCATGTTCTCTGGCCCAAGTATCCACAAGTGAATTTTTAAAATGAGTCCCATTATCTGACTCAATCCTTTCTGGGGTGCCATGTCACCACAGGATTTGCCTCTCCAGACCTAATATGGTGTTTCGGGCGGTAGCATGGGGTACTGCATATGTTTCAAGCCACCCGGTTGTTGCCTCCACCATGGTGAGCACATAATGCTTACCATTGCGAGATCGTGGCAAGGTGATATAATCAACCTGCCATGCCTCCCCATATTTGTACTTTTGCCATCGCCCTTCCTCCCAGAGAGGTTTCATCCTCTTAGCTTGTTTAATGGTGGCGCATGTATCACAGTCATGAATGATTTGTACAATGGCACCCATAGTTAAGTCCACCCCTCGGTCTCTGGCCCATTTGTATGTTGCGTCTCTCCCTTGATGACCTGAGGTCTCATGGGCCCACCGAGCTAGAAATAACTCACCCGTGTTCTGCCAGTCCAGGTCTATTTGAGCCACCTCAATTCTGGCAGCTCGGTCTACCTGATGGTTATTTCGCTGATCTTCTGTAGCTCTACTCTTGGGCACATGAGCATCTACATGACGCACCTTTATAACCATATTTTTTGTTCGGGTAGCAATATCTTTCCATAGGTCAGCAGCCCAAATAGGCTTGCCCTTTCTTTGCCAATTATTTTGCTCCCACTGCTGTAACCACCCCCATAAGGCATTTGCTACCATCCATGAATCAGTGTAAAGATAGAGCATTGGCCACCTCTCCCGTTCAGCGACATCTAAGGCCAGTTGGACAGCCTTTACCTCTGCAAATTGGCTCGATTCTCCTTTCCCTTCGGTGGCCTCTGCAACTTGTCGTGTGGGGCTCCACACAGCAGCTTTCCATCTGCGATGCTTTCCCACAATACGACACGATCCATCTGTGAACAGGGCATATTTCTTTTCATTCTCTGGTAGTTCATTGTATGGTGGGGCCTCTTTAGCACGTGATACTTCTTCTCCTGGTGGTGTTCCAAACTTTTTACCTTCAGGCCAGTCCATGATGACTTCTAGGATTCCTGGACGGCTGAGGTTCCCCATCCGTGCTCGTTGTGTAATCAACGCAACCCACTTACTCCAAGTGGCATCAGTAGCATGATGGGTGGAAGGAACCTTTCCCTTGAACATCCAGTTCAACACTGGCAGTCGAGGTGCCAGAAGGAGCTGTGTTTCAGTACCGACTACTTCGGAAGCAGCCCGAACCCCCTCATAAGCAGCTAAGATCTCCTTTTCAGTTGGAGTGTAGCCCTCCTCTGACCCCCTGTAGGCTCGACTCCAGAATCCCAAGGGTCGGCCTCGGGTCTCTCCTGAGGCTCTTTGCCACAAACTCAAAGTGGGGCCTTTCTCTCCAGCAGCAGTGTAGAGGATGTTCTTCACATCCTGTTCCATCCGTACTGGCCCCAGGGCCACAGCACGGGCTATCTCTTGTTTAATCTGCTCAAAAGCCTGCTGCTGCTCAGGACCCCACACAGAATCATTCTTCCGTGTCACCTGATAAAGTGGGCTTACAATGAGGCTGTAGTTTGGAACATGCATTCTCCAAAAACCCACTACGCCCAGAAACGATTGTGTCTCTTATTAGTGGGGGGAGACATGGCAGTGATTTTGTCGATCACATCTGTCGGGATGTGACGACGGCCATCTTGCCACTTTATGCCTAGGAACTGAATTTCCTGGGCAGGTCCTTTCACTTTGCTTCGCTTAATAGCAAAACCAGCACGGAGAAGGATCTGGATTATTTGCTCTCCTTTCTCAAAAACTTCCTTTGCTGTGTTGCCCCACACAATGATGTCATCAATGTACTGTAAGTGCTCAGGAGCACCTCCCTGTTCCAGTGCAGCTTGGATCAACCCATGACAAATAGTTGGACTATGTTTCCACCCCTGGGGCAAACGGTTCCAGGTATACTGAATGCCCCTCCATGTGAAAGCGAACTGTGGCCTACATTCTTTGGCCAAAGGAACGGAGAAAAAGGCGTTAGCAATGTCAATGGTGGCATACCACTTAGCTGCTTTTGACTCCAGTTCGTATTGGAGTTCTAACATGTCTGGCACAGCAGCACTCAATGAGGGTGTGACTTCATTCAGGCCACGGTAGTCCACCGTCAGCCTCCATTCTCCACTGGCTTTACGCACTGGCCATATGGGGCTGTTAAAGGGCGAGTGAGTTTTGTTGATCACTCCCTGATTCTCTAATTGATGAATTAACTTCTGAATGGGGAGCAAGGAATCCCTGTTGGTGCGATACTGCCGTCTGTGCACCGTTTTTGTAGCTGTCGGTACCTGTTGCTCTTCCACTCGTAGCAACCCCACAACAGACGGATCTTCTGATAGGCCAGGCAGAACAGACAACTGCTTAACACCTTCTGTGTCTACAGCAGCTATTCCAAAGGCCCATCGATACCCTTTGGGATCCTTAAAATATCCCCTTCTGAGGTAATCGATACCGAGTATACATGGAGCCCCTGGGCCAGTCACAATAGGGTGCTTTTGCCAGTCTTTACCAGTGAGGCTGATTTCGGCCTCCAACATAGTCAGTTCTTGGGAACCTCCTGTCACCCCATGAATATAAATTGATTTTGTCCCTTGGTGACTCGAGGGCATTAGAGTGCACTGTGCACCAGTATCCACCAGGGCCTTATATTTCTGTGGTTCTGATGTACCAGGCCATCTAATCCACACAGTCCAATAAACTCTATTATCCCTTTCCCACCCCTGGCTGGGGGCAGGGCCCCTCTATTTGTTACCTCTGTTGTCTGCAGCAACTGGAGCAATCACCTTTCTGGAGAAGTTCACCGTGGTGGTTGATTTGTCTTGTAACTCTTTTACCCTTGCTCGAAGGGCAGGAGTAGGTTGCTTATGCCACTTCTTCATATCTTCTCCATGGTCGCGTAGGTAATGCCACAAGGCAAAACGTGACGTGGTCTTACTGTTGTCACTTGTTCGAGCAGGAGGACATCTTCTTTTGATAGCTGAGACGTTGGATGACACTGACTGGGAGGAAATCAAGTTGGCTAGCCCCTCAAGTAGGCTGTTTTGGGAATTCTGTTCCTCATTGGATGTATCTGTTACCACCATGTATTCATCGGCATCAGGCATAATTGATAGTTTATCTATTATATCTTCTTGTTTGTTCTCCATTCTGTCCAGCTTTTCAGCTACTTTTTCAATGGCTGAAACACAAGCTCGTAGAGGGCTTAAATGTAACTCAAAGTCTTGAAGCTTATTAACCAACTCATTTATAAGGGGTCTTCTTTCCCCTCTGCCATACATAGCTGCAAATGTACCGGCGTACCTTTCTGGTGCAGTCTTTGTGAATGTACGCCACATATTTGGTGTACACCTGGCTCTCTCAGGATCATGCTCTTGGTCTGGCTCATCAGGAATGAAATCGGGGCTATGTAGTGTTTCCACCACAGCACATTCTCTCAAATAACGGATGCCTTCTTCCAAATCAGCCCATTTCTTCTTCTCGGGCATCAGATCATCTTTGAAGGGGTATCTTTCTCTTACAGCTAACAACATCCTCTTCCAGAGGGTGAAGGCCTGGTTCTGGCATGTACTAATACCTCTGTCAATGGCTGAGTCCCTAGCAATGCCACCCAGTTGGCGAGCTTCTCTACTATCTAGCCACACACTGTTGGCCCCATTGTCCCAGCATCGAAGTAACCAAGTAGCAATAGGCTCATTTGGGTGGCGTGAGAAGTCTTTTCTCAGACTTCGAATTTCATTCATTTTCAGAGATCGATCCACAAAGGTAACAATATCTTGCTCACCTCTTGCTCTTCCAGGACTTCTTGCCCTTGTAGGTGTTGGTGACCGTGGTCTTACTGGGGGCCCCTCCCCTGGACTCAGAGGTGCTTCTCTCGGACCTTGGAGCCACTCCTCTGGACCTCTTTCCTCCTCTTTCTTCTCTTCTAACTGAGTCGAGATTCGCTTTGTTTTCCATCCTCTTACAGGGGCAGCTGACATCGATTGTGGTGCCTCTTGTGGTTGATCAGGTTGGTCGGTTCCAATGCTCTCATCCTCCAGTTCAGCTTGGAGCTTGTTTTTCAATTATGACAGTATCTAGCTCAGATTGGAGGGTGTGTTGTTGAGATTGAAGATTGTTGAGTTTGGATTGCAGGGAGTCTCTTTCAATTCGGAGGGCATCTCTCTCAGATCGGAGGTTTTTCCTCTGGAGCAGGAGACTCTCTCGCTCATTTTGAACTGTTTCCCTGAGACTCTCCCTTTCAATTTCAGAAGCTCTCTCTCTCTCCAGGATAGTATTGAATAAGGCCCGATAAGCATTAGCCAGGCCCCAAATCATATGTGCCTCCTCAGAACTGCCTAAGCCGCAACATTCCTGCCTTAAATAGCTGTTTAGACTCTCAGGGTCTTTCAGGTGTTCTGGAGTAAAGTTCCATGAGACTGAAGATTTCCATTTGTCTAAAGTCTTTCCCAGACCTTTCCACACTCCCTGCCACTCAGTATTCTCTGGTTTTGGGGAGGACATCCTCAAAATATAATAAATACTAATACTGAGCAAAATGATGAGCAAAGTCTCCTGGGGAAATGTAGTTCTTCTCCGACGGACGAACATTCGGCAGATATCAAACCCCACTCCCAATGCATTACATGATGTTATAGTGTGGAATACTGATGACCAAAAAAATCATAAAACCATGACATCTTCAAAGTTCCCTTCCAAGCCCTGTGATTCTGCAATTAAGTAGTAACCCCAAATTTATGGCATCATCTTATGAGTTAATGACAAACAACTGGTTTTCGTTCCTTTGTGTTCATCACAGTTGATCTTCGTCTGCCTGTTTTGTAAGCTGTCAGCACTGTGGGATCTTTCCACATGCCTTTTCAGTATTCTCCATGTACAGCTCTCAGAAATGGTTTTCCGTTGGTGTTAGCAAGCTGTGTTAATCAGCTGTTCTTTTTTGAGAGTCATTTCTGAAAATAACGATTGATTGCGTAGCCTGAGCCACAAAATAAGTGGCTATCAGATTCACCACTGCAAAATCAAGCAGTTGTTTTCTTTCTTATAAATTCTTATTGGCCATGAGGACTGTCCCAGTCATTCAGTATCACTTGTTTTTTCTAATAGCCTTAGCGTGCGTTGGAAAACTGTGGGAAATCAAGAGCACTGAATGAGCCATATTATTTTTTCATTGCATGTTAGTCAACTCCTTAAATAAAGTTAATGGCCTGGCGAGGCAGAGTTTTCATTGCAGACAAATATAGTTGACTCAAATGTGTTGTTGCTTTTCTAACAGCTTCTCAGTACGGAAGGTAGATACAGTGCTCAGAGTTTTTCTGAGTACTGCTTGAGCACTTCTGAAATGCTTGCCTCCCTTTTTATTGGATCCAAAACTGCAGTATAGTTAGGTTTCCCATCAGTGCTGGGCTGTTCAGTTCATGTTTGAGTTCCTTTATGTCTCTTCATCCTGGTGATGTGCAGTAAAACAGAAGGCTTGTTTAATCAAAATTCTTCTCTCAAACTCATTCTGGTATGATGACAGATTCCAAGCCAAGAGTCTTCATGTGCTCCTTGGGAATGGACTGGAGGGCAATGAATTCATGCAGGTTTTCTGCGATGTGTGTTTATCTTTCTGTCTATTTATCTATCTTTGCTTAAAATTTTACATTTTAATTATCTTTTGGGTCTATTTATATTCTGTCATTCTTCTGTCATCTGATATGTGTGAATAAATCAAGAGTGTTGCAAGAGAGTCTTGTTATATGTGTGATAAGCAGGAAAACAGAAATAATAAGGTTGTTTTTTTTTTTATTACTCCCGCATTTCCTTTTGAATAGGTAAATGTTCTGTTTTAGCAGAGGATCTGCAGTACAAAGAGCAAATCTGTCTTTACAGTGGGGTGCATTTTGATTGGATCCATGCATGTTCCTTAGGATCCTCAACGTGATATTTTGTGAAATATTATACTTTCATATGTGTTTTGTAACGAATTATCATGAATTGTAACTGTGATATGTGTCTGGCTGGACTGCCTCTTTCTTTTGGAAGTACTAAGTGGGATTCATGTCATGAAAAATTAGGAGTTAATTCCAGTAGTCCAAACAAAACTTTTCCTCAGAGGCAAATTGAGGTTTAGGTTAGACATAAAGTAGAATTTTTTCTCTCAGAGTGGTCAGGCACTGGAATGGCTGCCCAGGGAGGTGGTGGAGTCGCCGTCCCTGGCAGTGTTCAAGAGGCGTCTGGATGAGGAGCTACGAGATGTGGTTTAGTGCTTGTGGTAGCAGTGGTAATGGGAGGATGGTTGGACCAGATGGTCTTGTAGCTCCTTTCCAACCTTGTGATTCTATGATTCTATGATTCTGTGATTCTATGCTTCAGTGCTGTTGCAGCTGTAGCTCAAAGAGGGAAAATTTGTGGTACTGCTGCAGCTTTACCTGTGGAAGTTTCAGATGGTAAGTTCAGAATGATGGTCCAAGGAGTAAACTGTGAACTCTTGTGAGACGTGTAGATTATACCTTGTTTCCAAAAACTACCCGCAGTGCTTTTGTAACTAGATCTGGAAAGTGGAAAAAGGACCGGATGGAAAAGCTATTGTGGAATTCTTGTCCAATCTCGCCCGCCATACCAAAGCAGTAAATGTCGTGCGCTTCTCTCCCAATGGTGAAGTCCTTGCATCTGGTGGAGATGGTGAGTAACAGTGCTCAGTGGTGCTGATGAAAAGAAGCTCTGTTTGTGCATTTGGTGAGTGAAGGGGAAAAAGTGAACGTATGGACTTGTTCATACCTTCTCATGATTTCAGTTTCGGATTCCTATGTGCCCTCTGGCTGTAAGCAGTAAATGCCTGTCATGCAGTTAGTTTTTATGTAACTTACTGCTGGCTGTGAGTCTGAGAAGGAGGGGAGATTGAATGGATTGCCTAGTGTCGCAGGGAAGCTGCGGTTGAATCTCTACGTTTCTTCCTGTCTCTCCAGGGTGATGTAGTTTCTTCAGTCCCAGTAAGGACAGCAATAGGTGGGCGTATGTCCTGTGAGACAGAGCTGAGTGTTACCTTCTGCACTAGAAGATTTTCAAGAAGCATGACATACAGAACCATAGCCAGCTCTAATCCAAAGCAAACTGAAAGTTAAATTGATAATTGCAGGACTAGGAGAAATGGTTCTAAGTTGAGGGAGGGAAGATTTAGGTTGGATGTCAGGGGAAAGTTCTTTACTATGAGGGTGGTGAGGTGCTGGAACAGGCTGCCCAGAGAGGCTGTGGATGCCACATCCCTGGAGGTGTTCAAGGCCAGGTTGGATGGGGCCCTGGGCAGCCTGGTCTAGTATTAAATGGGGAGGTTGGTGGCTCTGCCTATGGTAGGAGGGCTGGAGATTCATGATCCTTGAGGTCCCTTCCAACCCAGGCCATTCTGTGATTATACACTGTACTCTCATTTTACTCTTGGGAATCTGCTTTTTTTAATTAAAGCATTATGCAAAAAAATAAAAGGGTAAGGCAGTGTAGGAACATCTCTTCCCCAGTGCAAGTTAAGGTCTGTTCTTCATGTATCATATGTGAGATGATTGTAACATTAAACTAAATATAATGTGTTAGCAAACAAGTGGAAAAGAAGCTTCATATTATTTCTTGTCCAGATGCTGTTATTTTATTATGGAAGCTGAATGATAGCAAAGAATTGGAACCACTGGCTTTTCAGGATGAAGATGAAGCTCAGCTTAACAAGGAGAACTGGACAGTTGTTAAAACTTTAAGGTATTTTAATATTTTTGAGATGTTTTTCTATTCAGTGTTTTTTGATTCCACAGTGAATTTTATCATTTAGTACAGTCTTTTGTTCAGTGATTTTAGGACTTCCAACACTCTCTAAAATTTGCTTACTGTGAGTTCATCTTTTTATTGTCTTTAATTTCTTTGTTTTGATACAGGGCCAACCTGCATCTTCTGTTACAGCATTTATGTGACATAAAGAATTTGCATGGCATAGCTGTTGTGCTCTGAAATTGGTTCCTAAGATTTGCAATCACTTGAACTTTAATGCCTGTATATAAGTAAATGTAAAGTTTTATTTGTTAGCTTCGTAGTGCAGATTTTGATCATTATTAAAATAAAAAACATCAGTAGCTGAAATAGTTTGGGCAGATTTGCCAGATAGAAGCTGTGAGGCTGGAGGAGTCTTTTCCAACTAGTTCTTTTAAATAGTTGAAAATCTTCTACACTGGACAGCTTTTGTTTCAAACCATGTTGTAATTAATAAGATAGACACACTTTGCCTGCAGAGACCACGTAAGTATTGCTGACAGTGGCTAAGGCATCAAACCACTGCTGGTTTGCAGTTGCAGTACTGTCTGTGGTGTTCTGTTCTCACTCTCAGCAGAAGATTGCAAGAAATGGGTGGTTCTGCAATCTGCAGTAGTTTTTTATGAGATGTATATTTGTTTTGCTTTCTGTGTAGCATCTGTTAAGTTTTACTTTCTGTCTATACTGCCAAAATCATTCAAAATTTACACTTGTTTACAAAACATAAGTAACTATTGCTATCCATAACCAATACATTCCTTGCAACTATTGAGATTTCTGTGAGAACAGTTTCAGATGTGCTCGTGAGGTTGCATAAAACACCAGCATGATCCTTAGTAACATTAACTTCTTAAAGCAAACAGAGCCAATCCCCCTCCCCTAAATTTAGTGTTGCAAATATTCATTACCGAAGCTCCCACCCTATATAATAAACATTCAAACTACAAGCAATATGCATAGCTTTTGATGAAGCCTTTCTGGGTGGTTCTCAATATTTTTAAACATTTGTTCAGCTACATCGAATCAAACCTAGTTTTCTGTATTTCTACTGCATATGCATCTTTGTTTACTGTTTTTCTGAAACCCCTAAGTATGCAGGAAAGTCTTTATGAAAAGAGACATTTATTGCATGTGAAAAAAGAAATGTTAAAGAAACCTACATTGAGTAGAAGGAGGATGTGCTTTATAAAACATTTTAATGCCTCTGAGTATGGAAATTCTATAGAAGCTGAAAATCGTGCTGTTCCTTTTCTTCAACAGTTGTTTATTTCTCTCTTTGATTATTTTTTTTTAACCCCAAAACATGTACAGCTGTTACATTTACATGTACCTGTTTGCCTTAATAATCAGTTCCTTTGCTGGCTTCTAGAGGCCACTTAGAAGATGTGTATGATATTTGTTGGACTTCAGATGGGAATTACATGGCGTCTGCCTCTGTAGATAACACGGCTATCATGTGGGATGTCATTAAAGGTAAGCACTGTGTTTTAGCCATTGTGGCTCCACCCTTGATGGAAGTATCCCCAAGTATTTACCAAAGTAATTAAGCACATCTTTATTCAGTGAGAGAACAGTCAACTTAGTTGGTAGATTTCTGGAACTGTGAGGCATATACTCCAGCATATAAAGATACCTTCAGATCAGCAAAGTTTTTGCACACAAGTAATCACTTCAGATTACTTGGAAAGCGAATGTTATCCTTTCTTCCCACCTCCCTCAAGCTCGTACTCACCCCACGCTTCCCAGCAAGCAAACAAAACTTGACTGGTATCATGTAACTACCTCAGCTAAGCACAGAAGAATGCAGAAGGCTTCTTTTTTTTCAGGTGTGACACTTTTTTATGCTTTGTTCAGCAAAACACTTTTGTTCATGCTCATCCCACTGCTGTGGGATTGCTCATATTCTCCAAGAAAAGCCCTGTAGAGGTTGGGCCAGTGCAGAATATTTTGGACACTGCAGTTTCCAGCTGTGTGTATATAGCTGCCAGTAACCAGCTAGGCTAGGTTCCTTGACAGGAGTTTAATATTTTCTGATTAGCAATGTGATCATTGCTTTCACTTCTGATTTCATGTGGAAATAGTTGACTTTCCTTAAGTATAACTTACATGGATGTTCAATTAGACGTGTGTGTGCTCAGAGTGTAAGTTCGTGCATGGGTATTGTTACCAGATGCCACCTTAATTTTTGATAAAAATGCTGAATGTCCTTCCATTCTTACTGCTTGCTTTTACCATGAAATTACTGCTGTGGAGGAAATTTGTGTCTTCTAGGCAGTGTCAGAACTAGTAAGTCAGAAGTAAGAGGCCAGTACTGGAAAATGTAGGACTTGTGGTTGAGGTTGTAGGTACACAAAAGTAAAGAGTTTCAAGGAGAGCTTGACCCCGGCTAAAAGATTGCATAGTTAAGGAAAAAACAAAAAACAAACAAAAAAAAACCTGACTGAATGAAAATTAATTAAAAAATCCAGAGGGCTGTTTAGTACAAAGACAACATCACTGGCTTATTGTGTAAGTACAAACTTGGAAACTCACAGAACATCCTGGAGAAGTACAGTTAGGTGCTCACTTTCTTCTTATGCTCTTAGGCATCTATTGTTGTTGGGCACCGAAAACAGGGACTTTCAGACCAGAAGGACTTCTGGAATTTGCAGCCTGGCCTCAACCCTGTGTTATCTTTTCGAAGAGCTGTGTCTTTGAAACAAAACAAGACCGTGCTGTTAGAAGTTCATATCCGACAGTTAAAATGAAATATTTTATGAGAATTACAAGTAACTTTACCTCATCCTAGCACTTTGGATTTGTGCCACTCCACTGTAGAAGGGTTGGAGAGTTCGTGCTTTCATGATAGATTTAGTTGTGAAAGAATGAGTTAGCACTGCTGTAGAAGCGTTTCTGAAAGCTGTGTGAGTAAATGATCAGTCAGTGAGCGTGCAGTGCCTTTTTTCAGTGCCTGCTTGGTGGAGGAAGTGAGTTTCTACAGGCCTGGAACCTAGCTATCTCTAGCCCCACCTGAATGTTACATTTTAATGCTGGAATTTCTGACTTCTCATACACCCCAAATCAGTTAACTATTGAAAAGTATTTCAGAATTTCGTTAGAAGTTTTTTATCTACATCAGAAAAATTTTGATATGCTTTTTAGTTTTGAAGTGTGCTCATTTGATGCCTGAACCAAGCTGCTTATCTGAGTTAGTTCACAGGGAACAGCTCTTGAATTGGCATTGCCAATTGGCTGCAACTAGCTGTTTTATTTCTAGAATGTACCTGTTTCCAGCATTCTTGTCAGGTACCACCAGGATAGATATGCATGTTCAAAAGATTATTTGTTTACATTTTAAAACATTCTACTTTGCTTTATTTCTGAAATGAATAAATGTTTTTAAAGCACATTTGAATTCAGAATTTGGGAACTGTTTGTAATTTCAGGACAGAAGGTTTCAATATTAAATGAACACAAGAGTTATGTCCAAGGAATAACCTGGGATCCTCTAGGCCAGTACATTGCAACTCTGAGTTGTGATAGGTGAGCTGTTGCTCTAAGTGTTTTGCCTTGATGTTTTCTTCTTAAACATACTTTTAACTCATGCTCAGATATGTTATAAATGTGACTTTTATGTGGGCTCAGATTGTTCTGTAAGAAAGCTGAGATGAAGCAACGTGCTAAGTTAGTTAGCTTTATGGCTGTGGTAAGTGATTCCTGAGGTATGAGTGTCTTTTCTAAGTGGCAAATAAGCTTATGCAGCCTTTCGAAGAAAATTGTCTTTAGGCAATAAGTTTTCATGCCATTAGTCATTAGAGATACCAGATGCATCTTAAAGAGATTGCTGCATTCTCTGATTGTCAGTGATCTAGTAAGTCCATCCTTATCAATACAGTTTACAGAAAGATATGAGCAGGTTAAGTAATCAGTTAAAATGTTTTTCCATTGATACCTTTCTTTTGCCCTCTTGCTCCCTCCCTGTCCCCAGGAGTTTTGTAAGTGAAGTCATTGGGAAAGCAAATGCACACTTCATAAAAGTTGGGGCTTGTCAGAACTTTGCAGTTCAGCTTAAACTGTTGAGGGCATGTGTGCTGCTCTGAAGGGATTGCAGCTGGCTAATAAATGCGTGCCATCTGGCACCCGTTGCAGAGAAAATTGCTGTGATAGTGCAGAAGTAGTTTTGATTTAAGATTTGCAATAGGCTCTGAGAAATGATGAGTTAATGACTACTGGTTCATTATGAGCCTCTGTCTTCGGATAACCACTTATGAGAAATTTGTCTGCTTTTACTAAAACGAACAGCAGCAAAATGTGAGTAATAGAGTGATGCACAAGTTTTTCTTGGAGTCAAGTCACAAGCTAAAGCATGAACTAATCTGAATAGAGGAAGTCTCCTACCTCCTCAAGTTTCAGGCACTTCTGCAAGGTTGGCAAATATCTAGCTCAGCAAGAGTCCAACAGGAGCTTGGACTGGATGTTCAGCAACCTGGAGTAGAGAGATTTCCTCCACTTTTGCCAGGCCAGCTTAGCTGTGTGGCACCCAGAGCTTGTTGTTCCACAGCTGCCTCAAACCAACTGCTGGATGCCACAGCATCACCTATTTTCTCCTCCTTACTCTGTCAGGACTCTATGGAGCTGTTTCAGCAAATCAAATTGATCTTTTGTTAGGTTAGTTCTCTGCTAGCCTAACAAACCAGTGTAACCAAGCAAAGGTTTCAGTGGATGTCAGAGCTGGCAGAAAAGACAGGACTTGTAGACCAGCCCTTAGATTTGCTTTGGCTACTTGCTGTTTTAGGGAGATGAAGTCAGCAGAGCTCAAACATTCTCTGTGGTGTTACACTCCAGTTTTCATTTATTCCTAAGAAAACTCATTGAAGGCCCCAAAATGTAGCTAATGGTGAGATGAGTTCCCACGTCACAGGAGCATAGTGGCCACTGCAGCACAGGTAGGAATGGCATGGCTGTTTGCTATCCATTAAATTCCTTTATGAACACGTGTGCTGGTACTTTGGAAACATGATTGAGTCAAATAGTTGTCAGTGGCTAATTGGTTGCGTAGCCATAAAAAATATAGCTTTTCTAGTGGTCTCTCATGAATGGAGTTAAAACTTTTGTGTTTGTCACTTAGTTTTCTTATATTTGGCAGTCCTGACCAAAAAGTGAAGTGTTGTAACACTGTGTGAAACCTGGGGTGAAAGGACACTGTGAAAGCTAATTGTATGCTCTACTACGTAGGGTTCTGCGGGTATACAACACGCAAACCAAGCGTGTGGCATTCAATGTTACCAAGATGCCATCTGAGTCAGGAGCTGAAGGAGAGGTATGTTGTTTCTGTTATTAATGGTACTGTAGAACGTGCTGGGTGCTATTCTATATCAGTTACTCTGTTCCCTGCAAGCAGAGGAGCATTTTCCATTCAAATAATCCACACATCACCTATTTCTGTCTCTGTCTCACCTTTGTGTTTTACATATTTTTTCCTGTGCCATTTTAGAAGCGATCAACAGAAAACATTGCCTGCTGCTCTTGATCTTTCAGCAAGTTCAGCTGAGTAAAGTCATAACACTGTGCATTTTGTGCGCAGTAATAACACTAACATTTGGTAAACGTTAGAAGTAGTGTGGAAAAAAATTGTATGCATGTGAATTTTAACAGACTGGAAACTTGTCTGTCAGATAGTGGCTGTATGTTTATTGACGGATAAAACATCGCATTAATACTTGCAGTGCAGCAGTCTGAAATTTGCAACCAATTCTTAGGAAAAATGGGATTAGAATTTCCTACATTTTTACTGATTTGTTGAAGAGAACCCAAAAAATTTTTTTTTTCTTTCCCCAAGTTAGTTCAAAGTGATACTAAAATAACAATTCCAAGCTGGTTTTTCAATTTCTTTTATTTATATTTTTTAAACATTTGTAACAATTGCTGTAGTGACAGAAGGAGAGGTTTGAGAGAGGGCTCTTTGCCATTATAAAAGTTCTACTTAAACCTCTACTTAAAGAGTTAAAATTAAATGCCTGTGGAACAAGCTTTTACACTGACTGCTACATAATGTTGTTCTGCAGGTTATGAGTCCTTGATTACTGGTCTAATGTGACTACTCTTAGAGTGTTTTGATTAGTTGAAGAGGGATTAGGGCCTATTTTTCTTAGCTGTAAAGAGTTAATAGCAAAGAGAGAAAATGAGTTTGAAGGAGCTGTGTTTTTTTAAAATATTTGCCTTTTATTTTAAAAGTTCCAAGAGGATGGGTTGTACAACCAGGTGATTTTTTTTCTCACTTGAATTCCTGCTGACATATTCACGGCACATGTAATAGTCAAGATTTCAATGTTACAGGCTAAGAGCTATCGGATGTTTCATGATGACAGCATGAAGTCATTTTTCCGCAGACTCAGTTTTACTCCTGATGGTTCCTTACTGCTCACTCCAGGTATGTGAGAAGAACATATGCTATCAAGTGCATTGTTTATACTTGAAGCGTGCATAAAGATTGCTTTTCAGACTAGTGGGGAGGGTTATTTATCTGAATGATGCCATTCCTCATTTATCATCTTCCCCTTGAAGGAAATAGAGGCTCCACAATACGTTTTCATTAATGGCTCAGAACTTCAATTTTCTCTGTGATAAAAAATGATATTTATGGCATTTTTCTTAACTGAAACATGGAAATGGCAACATTTTCTGTTAAAATAGAAATGAGGGGTTATTATTTTCTTTTGACTGTCAGGTCTCGCTTTGTTTGTATTCTTTCTTAAAAACATTATGCAGTTATAGTAAAAATAACATTGCAAGGAGAGAATCAGTTTGCCCTGCAGTTAAGCACAGCATTTATAGATGTCAGGCAACATAAAAAAGAAGCTTTGAGTGGGAATTATATAAGGGGAACACAAACAGCGTTAAATAAATATTTAGGATGCCTTTTTAAGTTGTATTCAAGTTGCACAGCTCTTGCCCAACTAAATGACAAGTTTAATTCTCGAGAAGTAAAATGTTTATAGACATAAAGTGTACAGTCAGTACCTTTTGATTTGATGAGTAATGCTTTTGCCTTTATTTTTGCAGCTGGCTGTGTTGAATCAGGAGAAAATGTGACAAACACCACATATGTTTTCTCCAGAAATAATCTTAAAAGGTAGAGTTCAATAAGATGTCAATATTATTTTATTAAAAAACAAAATAATACTAATGAAATGCTATTTTCTGAAATACTTATTCTTAAAGGCCCATGGGTCATCTGCCCTGTCCAGGAAAGGCAACTCTGGCTGTTCGCTGCTGCCCAGTCTACTTTGAGTTGAGACGAGCACTTAATAAAGGTACTGCAAATCCTTCAGGGAGTATGATTTTTACAGCAAATATGTGAAAAGGCCTGTGTGACTGTTTATTTTCAGGCCATACAATTTTATGCCCCAGCCTTTTAACATTCCATTAAGATAGTGTTGTACCACATCTTAGAAGCTGTTTCCTGATTCTAAGACCCTGAATTTACCTCAAGTACCTCGTGAGTAGCTTTTGAAATAGTAGATGAATGCCTTACTTGGCACCGTAGGCTACAAAAATAATTCTTAGTACTTTCCTTTAACTTTTAACCATTCTGTTTGGGGGGGAAGGAAAAATGTAAATAACTTGGCTTTGCACTAAAGGGGCAATGCAATGAAATATTTTCTTTTAGTCTCAACTATGCACATCACAGAAGCACCACAGAGTTAGTGTAGTTTGCAACACCCTTTGATGTTTATTCAGGGAAGCCAAACCAGAAGGAATGCTGATCTCTGATCAGAATGGGAATTCTGAGGAGGGGAAGAGTGGTATGAAGTTGCATGAGAACTTACCTGGAGATTGAATTTTAGCCTTCTTATGAGCCCTGTGGGGCAGGAGTGTTTATATTTTAACCAGACTGGTTGTGTTCTGCTGAAAAGGCAGAGTTTTGCTCATTTCAAGCAGGAGTGAAATAAAACCTCTTTCTTTAGAGGATTAGTGTGCAGTATTCCTTAGAGGGCTTAGAGATAATGTGTTGTGTTCTGTATTTCCATCATAATATTTAGATCCAGTGCTATTCTGTGGCAAGGAGGTAAGTGTCAGCTGTCATGCTCTGTAGCTCTAAATGCAGTGGTGAGTTTCTGCAGCACGCTCCTAGAGAAGTGAAAATGCGGTAGTCCAGAAATCTGTAAGTGCAAGTACATGTTAATGGCCTGCCTCTTACACTGCATTGCTTCCATAATCACAGAAGTGAACAGGAGACCTGTATTCTAGGAATTTTGGAAAGTAGCTAGCTAGCGGTCCAGTGGAAAGCGGAATAATCTGTCCTTACAATGAAACCATGCTGGAAGCAAAAGGCTAGTTAGAAGCTGGAAACCAAGATATATTTCGTACGAGACATACAGAATGTAATGTGCAGGCATAAATTTGGGGTGACTTTGATTTAATGTATATCCTAGGAGTTGTCTCTTTAAACTTTGGTGCGTAATTATGTTGAAAAACATGAACTGGGAAGTAACAGACTTTGCAAAACAAAATATGAGCAACCTGAATGACCTGAACTTCTGTCTTCTCTCTGAGACGGTAGAACCTGTGGACAATGGAAATGTTAATGCTTGCCATTAAACTTTACATTTTATAGCCTTGCTATTTTCTCAGTCATTATTTGATGAACAATTAAATCTCTATTTGGATAACGACTAACTAGTGCAGTTACTACCCTGCACTGAATACAAGAGAGAATTCTCAGTGTTTCCATTTGTTTGCATTATAGATGAAATCAGTCAGAAATCATCGCCCGCTCTATTGAATCTACCCTATCGATTGGTGTTTGCTGTTGCTTCAGAAGATTCTGTGCTTTTTTATGACACTGAGCAGTCTTTCCCTTTTGGTTATGTTTCTAACATACATTATCACACCCTCAGTGACATTTCATGGTAGGTCATTGTTAGATTCTTAAGATTTGTTGTGTTGGGGAGAACGTCCTGTTTTTGTGTTGAAGCTTTGCACTGCATCTGGTGTCCTGCTTTATTTTTGAGTTTCATTCATGACGCATCTTTGGTCACTGTCATTGCAATATCTGGACAGCAAGTCATCTTGTTTGCTCTGTAAAGTGGAGAATTACAGTTCTTTGATCAGCTGGGAACCAAGGTGCCAGCAGCCAAAGGACAAGCAGGTGGCATTTGTACAGATACATGCACAATAAAGAGCCCATTGTCCAGGGGGTGTAAGTGGTAACAGTGATGTTATTTGAGATTACCAAGGTTATCTTTGAGTTTAGGTATCTGTATTGTGGCCAAATAATGCTTTATCTGTATAATTCTTCATGGTGGCTCTTCATGCATAGTAGCTAATCTGGCTTGATGTAGGAAGTCAGAACCGGAGCTGGAAACTGAAGTCAAGTCTCTGCAGTCAGAATAATCCCTCTGCTGGATTGGGCTTGTTAGGCTTTTCTGACCCATATTTCTAAACTGAAGAGCATGTGGACACTTCTTTTTTTAGAAGTTATAATTGATGCTCAGAAACTGAAAATCATTGTGTAACACGAGAAGGGGAATGGAAGAAAGTACAAGCACAACATCACTGATTAAAATGGGCACCAAGCCCCTGTCCTTGTGAACACCACAGTGATTCTGAGCATGGCTTCTACTTAGCCTGGGGGTCATAACTAGAGAGCTTAAATTGCTCTTCTGGTCTGGATGTGCAGAGTTCAGCAATATTTCTGAAACTGTGGCTGAAGATATGGACCATATTGTGTCCCAGGTCAGATGGATGTAGTTTCTGGTAGCAGCACACTACCACTAATCATTGGCATGGCCAGAGAGATTAAATCAGGTGTGAAGGCAAGATGTGAAGATCTTTTGTTCTTTTGAATTGGATGTTTTTTCACTTGACTGCAGTTTTACTTAGATGTATGTGTGTACTGGGGGAGGGGAAGAAGTACAGACGAGTACAGTGTATGTTATATATGGAGGTGAGTTGGGATTGAAGAAAGAAGTTTTCACCTTTCCCCTTAATGGAAAAAAATTCCAAATAGGTCCAGTGATGGAGCCTTTCTTGCTATTTCTTCTACGGATGGGTACTGTTCGTTTGTTACCTTTGAGAAGGATGAACTGGGAATACCACTGAAGGAAAAGCCTCAAATAAATGTCAGGACTTCTGGTGCAACAGAGAAGAAAGTGAAGAAGAGTCAACCACACAAAGTCATTTCCCCAGGCTCGAGGCTGACAGAGGGAACTCCTCTGAGCACTCCCACTCTCCAACCTAAAACGCCTGTAGCTGCTGCTAAGGACTTGCCTTTCACACCTGTTGGCATAAAAAATGTTCCAGTCTCATCTTCAGAGGAGAGGAAAATCAGCCAGCCAGCCAGCCAGAGTTCTAAAGGAAACCAGCCCAGGAGGATTACTCTCAACACTTTACAAGCGTGGAGCAAGACGCCAAGGTGAGATTTATATTGCCATTTGCAGTCATAAATATGAAGGCCAAGACAAGCTGTGCTTGTACTACATTTAAAGGTTTGAGGTTTACATATAAATTCCTGGTCTTGACCTGGAACTTTTTGTTCTAGTTGTGCTGCAACTATAAGGTCAAAATGTCTTTAAAATCCTAAATGTAACTCTCATATTTCTGTCTAAAACGTGAGGCAGTAGCAAAGTTTACCTGGCTCTTAAGCCTTGTTGAAATGGCAGACACAGTTGTCTGTTTTTATGTCCCACTTTCTAGAAAGATGATGCCTTCAGCTGACAGGGAATATTATGAAACCCTTCTGACAAGAAGTATTTCGAGAAGTGAAGAACCAGATGAATGGGTCTTAAAGCACTGCCTGAAGATGTTCCATAGGGTGAAGATTTAGATGTTTTCAGAAATTGCCTGTGATTCAAGTATTGATTGTTGCACATTCTGCAATATTGTCACAGAGCCTGCAATGTAAGATCCTGAGCTGATACACACACAATTAGAAGTCTAGACATTGTCAGCAAAGAAAGGCTAATTTTATGATTTAGGAGCCTATTGGTATTTCTCGAAGGAATAAATCGATTACTAGGTAGCTAGGGAAGAGGTGGTCATTGAGAAAGCAGGTTCTGGGTTTCATTGTCAGCTGCAAAGAGCAGTCTTAGAGAAGGTGATTGCAGGATGATGGCTTTCTGTACATCAATGATCATGTGTACAAGGACTAACAAATGAAGGGCTAACTAGAGAGTCGAAAGTGACTGATGTCTGGAGGGCAGGGTGTCTGGAGCTAGTTAATCTTGAGAAATAAGCTATATTTTATCATATCAGCTAATTATACCATAAGTGTCTTTGTGTAGTAGCATGCATGGTGCTGCCTGTAAGATCTGTTTTTTAGTAGATCAGTTAATCCTCTGCCACTTTTCTTATTTTGTAAGTGTCATCCACAAGATGTGATGTAAAGAAATATTTTATTTTGTTGTTGTTGTGCTGGCTTGGTTTGTTTATTTTTAAAAGCACACTTCAATGATCAAAAGAATCCTCTAGAGTTCTATCAGTCAAAAGTGTTAATGTTGTGGATGGGGCTAGACCAGGAATAAGTAACCTGTTGCAGTGGAATTGGAAGCCTTAGCAGGTGTCAAGAAACAGGTTAAATTCTTTGCCTTTTCAGCCAGTCTTTGCTTTAAAATATTTGACCAAAATAACATACTCTGTAGGATTATTTCAAATACAACATATGAAAAAGTATTTTGTTGTGGAAAAAGATAAATAAAAAGATGTGTAGTTGTATTCAAAGAACTTCTGAAAACGTCCTACTTGGCATATCAAAGAAGATAGTATGTTTAGTAACATATTTCCAAACAAGACCTAAATTTAAATTACTGTGTGTCAAATAAATCTTCAAATAAAGTAATTGAACTGTTTCTTCTCTTTCAAAGGAGAATAAACTTGGTATCACTGAAGCCAGAAACACCAGCCTCAGTATATACAGACACGGTTCCTGTGCCTGCTTCCTCAGAACAGGAACATGGTAAGTTTTTGTGCTGCATCTTAATATCCAGCAAAATTTTTTGCCAGTCTTTTTTTCCATTATAAACTTCTATTACAAGCCATAAAGATCTCAAATCAAGCACAGATGTAAAAGTAGTTGCAGATTGTAAAGCTTCTTCATTATGTAGGTGTGTTTGAAAGGTGCTTTTGACTACATGAAGTGTGTTGTTCTCACTGCAGTTGTCTCAGTTGCTCATGTGACAGTATGTTACAGCAGTTCAATAATAATGGTACCATTGACTGACATTTGAAACACTGCAGAGTAAACTTACTTGTTCTGCAGATCACACAGGTAGGTTTTAAAGACACCTGAAGCTTGTTTCAGGTGCTGGACTCTCAAACCAGTTTCTCGAGTATTTAATTGTTCATGAATCAACAGACCAATGACTTTTATTTGCTTGTTTCAGAGAGGCCATTACCATCTGATGACAGTCTTCAAAATTCCCCAGCATCTAAACGTCCTAGAACTGAGGAAATGCCTCTTTCTGTGTCTGCTGAAGATCAGATCGGCTGCAAACCAAACAAATAACAGCTGGTTTCTTAGAAGACTCTTCAATCTGAACACAGTGCGGCCGTATCTTTCTGCAAATGATAAATCCTCAATTCCTGATTAAAGTACTGTATGAGTATTTGACATAGTGCTGTGAGTAGTCTGGCAGCAGTAGACAGTTTTCAGGAATGTAGCTTTACGGAAGAGGAAATAACTCTGAAGTGTCTTCAAAGTGTGGATCTATTTCTTGAAGACTGCGTTCTTCGATGCTGCAGTTCAAGGAAATCATGCAAATTTGGCTATCAAAAAGCTAACCTAATTGTTCACTAGGTCACTAACCTAAGTGTTTCCATCTGAATTTCCTGAGTTGGTGTTTATAATGGATCGTGTCCTCCAGCAGCCTGTCTGGCAAGTAAATAGAATTTCTCAGGAATTGGGTTCATTCTGATTTGATGTTGCTTAAGGAAAATGAAGAAACAAAATACCTGAAGCTGTTTCACTGGGGCAGTTGGCTTAGTTGACTTAGTTGACTTGGCATTGTAGCAGTGTGCTGAATAATCAGTGCTCTCCTGTACCTGTGGAATGGAAGCAAACCTTCTTATGCTCTGAATGTGGCAGCATGCAGTGTGGCTGATACTGAAATAGAAATCAGAAGCTAGAACAGCAAAAAAAACAGAAAGCAGAAGGAAGACATTTTCTGAAGACCTGTTATAAGCATTAAGCAGTGGAAGAAGCTTCTTCACTGAACAAGGAAGTGTCTATATTTACAAAAATGAAGACATGAGATTTTCCTGAGGCACCAAGATTTGAATTTGTACATTGAAAGTGCACAAAAAGCTTTCCCCAGTTCTTTTTTTATAACTCAAATTGTTTTGGCCAACAAAATAAAACATGAATCCAATGCATGTTACACTTTTAAAATCTGATTTATTTAATATTTCCTATAATTAAACTATGACCTACAATTGGAAACCACTGCTCTGAATTTTATCTGGTGTGTGAAGACTCCAGAAGTAGAGTGCTCAGCCACAGCATTCCAAGCCTATCCATTTCATTAGTTTTGTTTAATATCAGGTATTTATTTTTGAGAAGATAATACTTAAAATGTAAATAGTTATTCTAGTAAATAGTTATATCTAGTTAACGATACCATGTAGACAAAAAATTCTCTTGTGATTTAGTCCATACTTTTCTGTCATGAAGTTCTGAGACGCATGGGAGGGGAAAGCGAGAATGGGTATTAAATCTCTTCGATTTCCCTGGATTTGATTGTTTTTAAGGTGTCTAATTAGTGTTTGTTTTCTGTCATTCTCAAAGTATATAAATGCATCAGACATGCAGAAATAGAAATGTTTGAAAAGTGTTTCATAAAAATTCCACAAAGAAATGCTTACAGATACCTATCCCCCAAAAAGTTTCAGGCGAATAGAAATATGTTAACTACAATCAAACTTCAACAGGAGTTAATAGGAACTAACTGTATTTTTCTTTAAACCACTGAGATGAGGGTAGAACTTTACTAGACCTAGCCAAACCTGGGATTTCTTACAGACAGGAGTGAAAAGTCTGTTACCAAGTGAAGTTACATCTGAAACAGTTTTTTTCCCTGAAATCTGTAGAAATAAAATTCGTAGAGATCTGAATTGTTAGCTAAAAAGCAAATATTTGTAACTAACACAGTAATGCATTTGTGGGAGTTCTTTTTTTTTTTTTTTTTTTTTTTTTTTTGTTTTCTTACAAAATGCATTTTGTCATGAGCTTCTTTCTGTTGAAAGCTGTAAGATTGAATATGTTATTTTAGTGTTAATGACATAACAGGCCTTTGTGCTCTTTGAATGTAATTACTTACCAGAGTATTAGTCTTCGTTTCATGCCACACACATTCTGGTAACATCCACATTTGTTTATATAGTTGCTAGCCTATTTTCTCACTGCCTTGCGATGCAATTGGATTGGTAGATTTATTGACACTTTCACTGCTTCCATTTGGAGATTATTTCCACATCATCATCTCTGTCATAACGTTACCTGGTATTTTTTCTTTCCTAATAAGGACTCCTTTCATTAGTTTTAGTTTTTCTTCTGCTACTATAATTTCGCACTTCCCTTTTCTATTCATTCTCTGTTAGTTATGTTCTACTCTGTTGTTAAGAGGCAACAAATCAGTTTTAAACTTGGGAACTGCAGAACTCTTCACTGGGTGTCCAGAACCTGCACCCAGTCAAAAATATTTTGTAGTTGTATATATCAGTACCCTCGCAGCAAATCCCCTCAAAGACCAAATAAACAGGATTTTGATACCGATTTGTGTTCTCTGAGGTGAAAGTAGCATGATCTTCTGTACCTGTTGGGCCACGATGCACAGGGATTACTGAGTAGGTGTCCCTGTTCACTGCAGGGATGTTGGACCAGATAGCCTTGAAGGGTCTCTTCCAACTCGAAATGGTGTTGCTGCTGTGCCTGCTTCATGACCATCCCCATCTCTTGGCGCTGATTCATCTGCCTTTTTACTGTAAGACTGTTTCTGCTTCAGTCGGGTGATGAGCTTCCAGAGGCATTCCAAGGAGCTGCTTGTCACAAGGAAAGAAACCATCATCTTTTTTTTTTACTGCTACTTGCAAGATTGTCATCATCCATCAAGAGAGCAAATTTTATTTGCCTGTTTCTCTGTGGACTCCTAGCAAAAAGTTATGGCTCTTTTTCTGAAGCCCAGTCTCCACACCATGTGGGCAGCAGCAGGAGTACCAACTTCTGCCAGCTCAGTCAGGGACTCTTCCATAGCAAATATCTACCTTACAGGAGATACACGTTCTGTTTATGTTGTGACTTCAGGGTCGCTTGAGACCATAGGAAATCTTAGCAGACACTTTGATCTATTTCTTTTGATCTATTTCTATTTTCTAATGAAAGGACTTGACACGCAGGCTTCTATCAGACAGATTGCTTACCGAGAGCGCCAGAGATTCTGTGGATAAAAAGAACCTTCAAACCTTGGAATCACCTCAGATATTCTTCAGACAAAACCCCTGTAGGAGCAATCACGAACCATATAGTTCTGTTGTTGCCTCTCCTGCTTTTCTTGCTGTAAAGGCAGACATCTCTCAGGCACTGGTCTTCCTAATTAGTCACATAAGGCTTTTGGACTCTGGGTGTTTGTAATGCCTTGCAGTCCTTTCGACTTGTGCTTGGGAGTTCCCTCCATAAGAGTTTACTAGGACTTAGCATGCACATTTCAGTAAAATCATTAACTCCTTCCCACTATGGAGGAATTGCCCATTAACCCCTGGGGCTTAAGCTATCCCATGCATTTTGAGAATGAGGAAGGCCATAATAAGAGCCTTCAAACTGTGTTGGGTCTTGATGTCAAATGGAATGGTCGTCTTTCTTCAGAGGCTATAAAGGCAGGTTATGTACTCTTGACAGAATATGTCCTGAAACTTCCAAGATGAAGCCACTTCTGATGGAGCAAAAACTGTGTTGAGTGGAGTTTTTTTTCTGATGAAATGTAATCTTCCTTTGGATGCTACTCAAGCAACCACGTAGAGATTTCTTAAATGTTATGTTACAGGAAAGGCATCAGAACTGTTGCCATTTTCAGTAGAAGCAGTGCCACCGTTGCTTTCCGTGTGAAGGATTCAGAGCTTCTTTCTCCAAGTAAATTTAACCACATACATTTTTCAGCCTGTTTGACACTGTGGAGACCACAGGTGGAGTGCTGCATCCAGTTCTGGCCTCTCCAGAAATATGGAGGTCTTGGAGGAACCCTCATGAAAGGCCACTAAGATGATGAAGGGGTCTGGAGCATCTCCCTATGAGGAAAAGTTGAGAGAGCTAGGACTGTTCAACCTACAGAAGAGATGGGTTGTGGGGATCTCATCAGTGCCTATAAATACCTGGAAGGAGGTTGTTAAGAAGATGGAGCCAGACTCTTCAGTGGTGCCAGTGAGAGGATAAGAGACAACGGGCGCAAGCTGGAACAAAGTTTTCCTTTCTCAGTTACATGTACCTTAACTGACCTTTTAAAAGGTCATCTTTATGTCTCAATTCTGTATATTATTTTATTTTAAATGTGTCTATGTAATCATTTACCAATGTCAGAAGAAAAAAAAAAAGTTCTTTGTTCTTTTGATCTATTTTGATCTATGTGCCCTTTTTTCTTTTGTTGACGAGTAATTGTTTAGTTGTACAAAGTTCAGCCCGTGGCTCTAAAAAGCCCTAGCTGCAGCTCGAAGTGAGATGTAAAAACGAAGCGCAGAGTGCCCACTAGATGCCGCTGTTCTAACAGGATTCCTCCTCTTGCGGTTATGGCGGAGAGTGATCCAGGCAGCAAGAAAACAGTTTTTAGTAACATGTTGTAATTGAATCTATATAGCAAATATAAATTATCAACAAATAAATTGATTTTATTATTTTGACAAGCTTCCTTTTAAAAGGACGTGTTTGGTTTTTGTTTATTATGTCCGTATCACCATATCCCTTAGAGTCATAGAATCATAGAATCACTCAGGTTGGAAAAGACTTAAAGATCATCAGTCCAACCCCGACCTAACCATCCTACCCTAACTCCAACAGCCCTCCGCTAAATCATGTCCCTGAGCACCACATCCCTTCTTTGTTGGGAGATCCAAGATAACAGACCTGAAGTACCACATGCAGCCCTCAACTTGCCAGGAATCTCTTAAGCATCATTTCTGTCACAAAGCTATTTGAAGAGGGTATAGGAAGGATCTGAAACGCGTATGGGCCATCTGGTTGGTGTGTACTCCAGGACCAGTTTTGGATTGTCTTTCCAGGAGTTCCCAGATTGTGATACATATATTGCTGCATGTTTTCATGCCCCACCCCTATGTCAAAAGTTAATTGTGTGTGTCCGTATTACAGTACCAGCTTGTCTGTTCTGATCTGTCTTAAAAAGTTGCACTGCCATTTTATTTATCTTCTACCCTATTAAAAGGAAATGCAGAAGATGAGGGCAGTCACACGTAGCTGTGTATCCATGAGAGAGTGGCCACGGAGTGTGTGAGGGCAGTATGCAAGCAATGCCCTCGTGTAAACTGTGTTCTCTCTGCAAGAGCAAAAGGACAACTCCTTAATTAGTGTCATTTTTATTTATTTTTGACTGGAAATGTACTTTCTGCTGCTTCCAACTTGTGTCAGACTGGTGCTGCCTAGTCAGGCTCTTTTCCTCCTCTGAGTTATTAGTCGTTACCATCGCAAGGAATACTTGCTCCTCAACAAAAACGTATAGATTTACTTCCTTAAAACGAAATAATTCAGTGAGCCACTGAACTATTGATACCTTGTTTCATACAGGAATATAGCAATTTGCACTAGTGTTTTCAAACAGGCTTTGCAACATTTTAGATTGAGTGGTTTCACTGCTTTACTGCTGGAAGGACTTTTTGGTGTGTAATAATAGTTAATTTTTAGACAGCTGGACATAATGCTTTCTGTGCTATCAGTGCTAGTTTTATTTTTTCCTCTATCTGGCTACCTATATTAAATACATCCCATTATTTAATCGCTTTTTATCAAAACTTGGTTAATATTTCCTTATGGATTCAAAGTGGAAACTCTGTATTGTGTAGCTTAAGCTCCTGCCTCACAAGCAGGAAATAACCATGGGGTGCTGAGGCTATCACATGAACTTTGATCCCTCTATATTTACTTGCAAAGAGGACAGCTCTTACAGCAGTAGGCAGAAAGGCCCAAATCTCTTCGGTGCTCACTGTGCTCTCGAGTCCAAATGGGAAATCTCAATCAGACAAATGTGAGACAGTTTCCCTTCCTAGTGATACCTCTGGATTTTCTCTTTGCTGTCTAAGGAGTAGGAAGGGGCCATAGTTATTGAGAAGAATGCAGGTAAAAACAGAGGTGGCTGTAAAAGTCAGTGGTGTGGATTAAGATTTTTGAGCTGAGCGTAGAGATACACTCAGGAGGAAAATGCAACAGATTGACATCAGTCAAAATATCTCCTCCATGCTGCCAGCTGTGAAACAGAGCACAGCCTCTCCTAATCTACTCATCAACAGTCTCAGGCAGATCAGAAGGCTTCTCCAGCAGGAGCTGACACTGCAGATCTTCCAGTCAATTGACCTCTGATGAGTCAGTATCCTGGGTTGGGGTAACAGACAGTCAAAGCTACAGCAGCGTGGAAAGCTGGCTGCTCACACATCCAGCGGTGCTTCTGGTCTGGGGAGCGGTCAGCCAAAGGTTCTGATAGTTTTAATGGAAACTCTATTGTGAATTTGGATGCTGAGGGAAGCCTACCAGGCAAAGAGTGCTCAAGATGCAAGACAGTACTAAATGTACAAGGTATTTCTGTCCCTTTTCCACCACATTCCAGATACGAATAGAAGATCTAGAGATCTATTGGGCCTTCTTTGGCAGCACTGCCAGTAGTTCTAAAGCAAAATCCCCAGATTTAGTGCCAATTACTCTCTGACCAGCTCAGAACTCCATAACGCAGGCCTATTCTTCGTCCCATGAGGTTTTGGAGGTACTGCCATTTTCTTTATGCTGTTGTTTTCTTTTTCAGAGAGTTGGCAGAGCAACCTATGGATGCCAAGGTTCTCCTGAATTTGCAGCTCCAGCCTTCTCTGAGTGTGACCTTTGCATATTCACTACTCTCTCTAGTCCTCTTTCCAAAGGAGGCACGAGAGAAGGAATAAGTACTCTGCTGTGGACAAAT